TGTGTGTGTATGTGTGTATGTCATTATGTGTGTGTATGTCATTATGTGTGTGTATGTCATTATGTGTGTATATGTGTATGTCATGTGTGTATATGTCATTATGTGTGTATGTGTGCATGTCATTATGTGCATGTATATGTGTATGTCATTATGTGTGTGTATGTGTGTATGTCATTATGTGTGTGTATGTGTATGTCATGTGTGTGTATGTCATTATGTGTGTGTATGTCATTATGTGTGTGTATATGTGTATGTCATTATGTGTATGTGTGTAGTATGTCATTATGTGTGTGTATGTCATTATGTGTGTGTATGTGTGTAGTATGTCATGTGTGTATGTGTATGTCATTATGTGTATGTATATGTGTATGTCATGTGTATGTATATGTGTATGTCATTATGTGTGTGTATGTGTATGTCGTGTGTGTATGTCATTATGTGTATGTGTATGTCATTATGTGTGTATGTCATTATGTGTGTATGTCATTATGTGTGTGTATATGTGTATGTCATTATGTGTATGTGTGTAGTATGTCATTATGTGTGTATGTCATTATGTGTGTGTATGTGTGTAGTATGTCATTATGTATGTGTATGCCATTATGTGTGTATGTCATGTGTATGTATATGTGTATGTCATTATGTGTGTATGTGTGTCATTATGTGTGAGTATATGTGAATGTCGTTATGTATGTGTATATATGTGTATGCCATTATACATGTGTATGTGTGTATGTCATTATACATATGTGTATGTGTGTATGTCATTATACATAAGTGTATGTCATTATGTGTGTGTGTCATGTGTGTGTATGTGTGTATGTTATTATGTATGTGTATACATGTGTATGTCATTATACATGAGTATATATGTATGTCATTATACATGTGTGCATGTCATTATGTATGTGTAAGTGTATGTCATTATATATGTGTGTGTATGTCATTATGTATGTGTAAGTGTATGTCATTATATATGTGTGTATGTATGTCATTATGTTTGTGTATATATGTGTATGTCATGTATGTATATATGTGTGTGTATGTCATTATACATGTGTGTATATGTGTGTATGTCATTATGTGTGTGTATGTCATTATGTATGTGTATATGTGTGCATGTTATTATTCATGTGTGAATATGTATATGTCATTATGTGTGTGTGAATATGTGCATGTTATTACGTGTGTGTGTGTGTGTGTGTGTGTGTGTGTGTGTGTGTATGTATGTGTGTGTGTGTGTGTCCCTGACAGGAAACTGTTGATATGTTAGACACAATATGAAGATCACTCTCCTCTCTGGTGTTGTAGTCCCAGCCCTTGGGAAGTTAAATCATGTTCAAGACTAGCCTAGGCTATATGTAGTGATACAGTTTCCAAAAATTTTTTTAAATGAAAAAATATTAAAAGGAAACAAAACTACCCTACTCCCAGTGGCAAACCTATGCTCATATAGGATATTGTGTTAGAAACTATAAACATAATACCTATGACAGTTTTATTTATGTGTCATGCATGTGTTTGTGTGTGTGAAGGTTGGATGTTGACATCAGACATTTTGCTCAATCATGCTGCATCTTATTTTTTGAGACATGGTCTCTCACTGGACCTGGAGTTCATGAAGTAGACTGGACTGGCCAAGCTTCAGGGACCTACCCCTGCCCATGTGATACACCCTAGCTTTTACATGGAGATCTGAATTCAGACTAGGCACTCTACCAACTGAGACAGCTCCCTTGTCCACGGAAATTTTAATGCTAAAGAATTAAATTCAGATTTAAATTAAAAAGTACGTAGGTGAGCCGGTAAGAAAACATTTGAAAGTACAGAAATTAAAAATAAAATGAAAATACAATAATTAAACATTTACTGTCCAAAATTATTTATCTTTGCACATTAATGTAATGCATCAAATTATACATAAAATGTATATCTTGCTTATTTCAATTCACACTACTTGCTTCCAAAACTTGTAACCTTTTTCTTTTGAACTTTATTTTATTTTTATTTATGTGTATGGGAGTTCTGCCTGTGTGTAGGTCTGTGCACAGTGTGCATGCCTAGTGCCTGGCGAGGCCAGAGACAGCTTCTGACTGGGACTAGAGTAACAGGCAGCAGTGAGCTGCCACTGGGCGATGGGACTCAAACCCAGGCCCTCTGAAGAACAGCCAGTGCTCTAAACCGTTGAGCCATCTCTCCAGCCCCAACTTTTTTCTTCTTATATAATTATTTATGCCAGTAAATATGATCTTTAATAATAACAAAGATTTTAAAAAGCCCAAATGAAGATATGTAGTATTCTGGGGCTATTTTTGAGCAGACACTGAGACATGAGGGGTACTCAGGCTACCCACACAGCATGTAGCTTCACTGGTTCAGAATTTCATTTATGGATGCTTCCTGTTTTTCAGTGCCCTTACATGGAGGCATGGACCACAGAGAATGAATAGAAGCATGAACTCCAAACAGAACAGAGCGTGATGCTACACAGACCCTTGCATCCTCCCGGCAGCTTGCAAGCCTTGACCTTTCGTGGACAGGGTCACCAGCAGCCCTGCCTTGCACACAGGGATTCTGTGTGTGTGTGTGTGTGTGTGTGTGTGTGTGTGTGTGTGTGTGTGTGTGTGTGTGTGGACATGACACATCTGTTCTCGTTGTGGGACCACATCCCGAGTCTTCAGCACACTGGGCCAAGTGGCCTGCAACCTCATTTCCCCCACATTTTCCAAAACAATTGTTTGATAAACATCGCTAAAGCAGCTCAAGTATTCCTTCATAGAGATTCCTAAAAGTGAAGTCACTGAATCCACAGTGTAAATATTGCCAAGATACTGACTTACAGATTTAGGGTGCTGACTCAGACATTTAAACGGACCTTGGCCTTTATATAAAATCGAAGCAGAAGATCTGAATACTTTCAACGTGTGAAATAAAATTAGTTAAGAGTCTTCCTAACACTTTGTTCATGGTTATAACTTTTCCCAGAGCTATGCTAAGTCCTTTCTAATTTATGCTAACTCAGGGTGACCATATAATTAAAGAGTTGAAAATATGAAAAATTTGTCAAAGTATTAAAGCAAAATTTGTCACTGATTGCTAAATTATCTCAATAGCTAAAGAATATTACAGCATTACCCCATTTTTACTGCCAATGAAGAAAACAGACTTTTCTCCAATTTCGGCTCCGTCTCCTTCAGTTCCGTGACTTTTCCTTTTTTCCACTTCAGCTTTTGCGATTTCCCAGAGAGTTTCACTGCGTAGGAAGTAGAGACACAGAAGGAATGCTTAGAAACAGTTAATTCCAGCACAGAAACTTTGTTTCAGTAAGAGTTGTAAAAAAAACAAAAACCCCACTATTTCCCGGGAGTCGATAACTAGGTAGAACACTGATGGAAATGGTCCATAAGGAAAACTGAAGCTGGTAAACTGAGTGTCCTAGTCTCCATTCCACTGCTGTGATAAAACACCTCTGTCTGCTTCAGTTTCAGGAGTCATGGCTAGCGGGTAGCTCAAGGCAGCAGGAGCTTGCCGCAGCTAGTCACGCCCACCGTCAAGAGCTGAGAGAACGCACTCATGTCTGCTTGCCTTCTTGGGTAGACTAGCTGGCCAGGAAGCCCCAGCGATCCTCCTGTCTTCAACCCCTCCCCAAAGTCGCGAGTTCACAGACACCCTTGGTTTTCACCAACTCATGCTTGAACATCCAGCACTTAATCCATCGTTGAGCAACTACTACATGCAAGCCTCTGCGCTAATCGCCGGGCTCAAGGCTGCTTTCTTGGTCTCTGAAATACCAATTAAAAACATAAAAAAAAAAAAAAAGAACGTCTGCTTTTGGGGCCGCAGTAATAATGGTTACGGTGTCCCTGTTCATTTAGTTTTAGGCGCTGGCCTTTTAAAGTACAAAAGCTATTGATGGCCTATAATTATTACTAGACACGCACCAGAAACCGGGGTGATGATATAGTTAAGGGGCAACGTGCCTGCCTAACGTGCATTGAGTCTTTGGGTTCAATTCTCAGAATCCCAAACAAAACGGAAATGCTTTTAAAAAAATGCCAAGGCAGGAAAACAATGCCAAAATAGAAATCCCGAAAAGTCGCACTGTGCTGTTTTATTTTATAGCCAGCGGTCCCCCTCCTCCCCGCCCCCCCCGCCCTCAACTCTGCCTGCATCTTCTTGCCCTGTTTACACAGCATCCCTCCAAAAAAGGGTTTATGTTTCTCCAGTGCCCAGTAAAAGGAAAGGATTCTTCCAGCTGCCTCCCCACGCCCTCAAAAAAAAAAAAGCCAAAACAAACAACAAAAAAGTAAAAATAAAAACCCCAAACAACAAAACCCCAAACCCCTGTACCCATAGCCTCACTACGGTAACCAATCAGAACGCGACGCAAAGCTGACTCATTTCCAGTCCCAAACACCATCAACCCAACAGCAGTTCATGCCTCAGATCCAGAAGGGGGCGAACAGTCCCTGGCCCTCTCTCCCCGACATCCTTGCAGGCCTTTGGGAGGTCCGGGTACTTTAAAGGACCTTGGAGAGAGGAAGAGCTCAAACTTATTTTGCAAGCCATCAGCACCCCCAACCCTCCGCCCTCAAGGAGGTGCTGCACTTCCCGCATCTCAAGTAGCCAAGTCCTGCACCAGGAGGCAGTGGGCCCTGGGGAGGTGGCTTTGCGGTCTGGTTCAGCACCGCGTGCCCTGCAGCCTGCAAGGGCAAGAGGCACTCGAGAACCATCTATGCAATCAGCGAATGCATGGGGTCCATACTTCCTAACCGCTTACTGATCTACTTGTTTGTGACAGAGGCCTGGTTTTTTTTTTTTTGTTTTTGTTTTTGTTTTTGCGCGCGGGGGGGGGGGATTGGCGCGGTCCAGACCCACAGTCTCCCACAGCGCCAGGACCGGGTACCCCGTCCCACCCTCCCGTGCCCCTTCCATGTCGTGAGCGTCCCGCCCGTCGGTTGAGCAATACCTGGGCATGGTGGCTGTGCAGCCCCAGAAGTCCTGGGCTCCGCGTGGGCTGACCCCGGGCGGGCTGCGAGCTCCTACGTGGGCTAGAGAAAGCGGGCTCCTCGGTTGTCATGGCAGCGACGTCGCGGCAGGGAATGCGTGTCGAAGAGCGACCTCATGGGAAATGTAGTTCTCTGCCTTCAGATCATATCTCAACCTCTAGGATGCCAGAAGGGTATGGTGAGCATCCTGATGCATCTGGGATCAAAGGGTTAGGACTTGAAGTTTTTTTGCTTTTTGCTTTGCTTTGTTTTTATTTCTATCGAGTGCCGACTGTATGCCAGAGGCCTCTGCTCTCTGGTCTTTAACTCCTCCACCCCCATTGCCATGATTTGGGAACAGAAGCTGAAACAAGGCTGAGCTGTTATCTAATAATTTGGTAGAAGAAAAATTCAACAATTAAAATCAAAAGAAGGTGCGCAACCTTCCCCCCAGCATTCTGAAGGGTTGACTGATGTTTTATAAGGCAGTACATTATTTATTAATAAGTCAATGAAGTGTGTGCCTCTCTTACATACTTAATTTACCTTTTGAAGGTGAATTTCATTTGTTTGAACTTTATGGGCTCTTTATAGACACCCCTCTGTAGTTTTTTTTGTTTTTACTCTTAACTCTTTGCTCTTTGGGGCCCCATCACCCAGCTCCCAAATAAATCACACATGGAGGCTTATTATTACTTACAAATGTCTGGCCTTAACTTGGCTTATTTCTAGCCAGCTTTTCTTAAGTTATCTTGTCTACCTTTTGCTTCTGGGATTTTATCTTTATTTCTGAATACCTTTCTTTACTTTGTATTCTGTGGCTGGCTGTGTAGCTGGGTGACTGATCCTTGATATCCTCCTTGGCTTCTTGCTCCTCAATCCTCTTTTTCTTCTTGTTTATTACCTCTGCCTGCCAGCCCCGCCTATCCTTTCTCCTGCTCTTTATTAGACCAATCAGGTGTTTTAGACAGGCAACGTAATGCAACTTCATAAACAAATGCAATGTAAAAGAAGGTAACACATCTTTACATCATTAAACAAACGTTCCACAGCATAAACAAATGTAGCACATCTTAAAATATTCCACCACCCCTCTTTATATGAATCCCCATAAAAGCTATATGGACATAGACAAAACCCTGTGCTATACAGAGTAAGAGGTGAGATAAGAACCCAGCCTTTAAAACAGGTGTACACAGCTCATTACAACCAGAATCCAGGGTGAGCAAGCTATTGTAGAAGAGTTGCATAAGCAGCCATGCCTGAAGAACCTGTCCAAGCATTCATGGCAGGTTTGGTATTTGACCTGTCCCGAATGCTTGCCTGTACTGGCTATGAGGAGCCATGGAAGATTTTAAAACTGGCATGCTTTGCCTGGCCCTGTGTTTGGGGGAGATAAGTTTTTGCAGCTGTGGGGGATTTTTTTCCAGGAACCTACAGGACCATATGGAGTCTATTAACACCGACAGGAAAGTGACAGAGTTTTTATATCTTCCCCTTTGTTTTCAGCATTTCTTGCAGGAAAAAAAAGGATATACAGAGAGGGAAAAGAGAGCAAGAGATGTGACTCTGTGCTGGAACTCTTGTTGAGCATGTGAAGCTTCTTACATTGAGTCCCCGGCACTTAAGAAAAAGACAAAAAAAAAAAAAAAGAGAGAGAGAGAGAAGCAGGAAAGATGATGATGGGGAAATGTTTATCCCAGAAGAAATAAACATTCAACATTTTGACGTCTCTCATCAAATTCTTTTTCTTGGGGTTAATACTGAATGTGGTTAAAATCTGGGTTTTAGGCATGTATTCCCACATATCAGTTATAAAGTCATCAGAACAAGACTTGCTGGCTGCACATTATTCTACTGTACAGATTTGTTTTCATAATTTCTTTTGGCATTCATCCAATGCTGACTTGGCTTGACATAAACGTGAAATATGAATTGGGTTAATCAGAGTCCTTCCCTGGAATTTTTCAAGTGATGATTGGAAAAAGCAGGTCATTCCCTTTTGGAGAAAATTACCATATGTTCTGCTAAATGTAAAGTACACAAAGCAGACACAGCGTATGAGCATAGAGTCCTGGTGCAAATCCCCAGGTTTTCCCAAGGCCCCTCTGCCTGCATCCTTTTCTTATGACTTCATTTAGTTATTTGAGGCATCCTACTATCTTTGTAATGGCAATGAGAGAAGTGAATTTTCTTATTGTTTTGTGAGTTAGTTCAAGTTGAACTTTAGAAATTTACCCCAAACTTCTCTGCTTTCCCGAGATCTATATTAGTGTAACGATTCAGGCATTATGCTGGCCTGCCCCTGTCACCTGGCAGAATGCACTCAGGCAGTGCCCTGGTCAGCCCAGGGGTCCATGATTACTAGTCTGCATGCAGGTTCAAAGGACCCCTTTAAAAGAAAGACCCTCCCACTTGCTCTCTTCTCTGCAGTTCCCCTGGGGCAGACAGGACTTTTCCTGTCTCCCTCTTCTCTTCTGTCCTCTCCCTGTCTCTTTACCTCTTTTCTCTTTCCTTCCCCTCCCTTCCCTTCCCAATAAAACTTCTCACTTAAGCTCTGTCTGCCTGGCCTGTTTGTCCCCCCACCCCAGTCACCCTCACCTGCCATGAATCCACCAAGGTCCCCCAGCCAAGGTTCCCCACGAGCTTTATCATAACAGATAGTAGTAGTAACAGAGGGATGGAAAATCCTGTTAACCAGGGGATTAAAAGTTTCTCTCTGGCTGCAAGTCCCTTCCTTCTCTTGGGGAAAAGGGAAGGGAGGGGAATCTGAGCTGTGCTAGCAGAGAAGGGTCTCTACGTGCTCCTTCTTGTCCCTCACTGCCCTCTGTCCCTCTTGCCCAAGCCTTAGCCCCATGAGAATCAGCTTAGGGCCAGGAGGAGTGCAGATTCTGTGGCAGCCCAGAGGCAGCACACGGGGAAACCATTCCGGAGACACTGAAAGCCTTTACTGGAAAAACACAGGAGGCCATGATGCTTAGTTCTTCAGGATTATACTCCAGTTCAATTAACAGTAAAATTGTTCTAGGAACCTGGTCATATTTTTCACTGTGGAAAACTGCCAGGGGCCCATAGAAGTGGCTCCGTTTCATCTGGACTTAAGGTCAGAGAGTTCAAGCCCATAGTATAGCTAAATGGGTGTGTCACCTTGACAACAGGATATTTGGTTTAGGGAGTGGGGACTCGATGTTTTGGGTATTGAGAAGGTAATTACACTGGCTTGTTCTTTGTATCTCAGTAAGGAAGTCTTGTGCCTTCCACCCTACTGACTGGGGTTTATAAGAACTTTGAGTAATAAACTTGGGGCAGATCCTGGTATTCATTGGGTACCCTCCTGAGTCTCTCTGTCTCCTGTCTAATTCGTTCCTCAATCCACACTTCTCCTTCCAAGCAGCAACCGGATTAAGTCCACTGGACCCAACCAAAAAACACTGGCAAACAATTGACCAAGAAACACATTCGGGCATTGGTGGTGCACACCTCTAATCCCAGCACTCGGGAGGCAGAGGCAGGCGGATCTCTGTGAGTTTAAGGCCAGCCTGGTCTACAGATCGAGTTCCAGGACAGCCTCCAAAACAGTACAGAGAAAAAAAAAAGGAAACACAGATTTTGGGGACAAAGTCTCTATGTAAGTTGTGGTTAACAACTCTTATAAATTGAGTTAAATTCATAATTATTCATAAGGAATGGCAGTATTTGCTATTAGGGCACACACACACACTGCAGAATATTTTAAATTAATTTTAGACCTAATCCAATGAACTCACTTAAATGAAAAGGGGGGTATATTGGAAAAACAAATCTGTTTGCCTCTTCACATAGTCTGTATGTATCCATATGCATGTGTATTAAATTTACAATTTGTCTAAACAGTTTTCTTCCATGTGAATGAAACAACGCCACACGGAAGACACAATGAATGCCTGAGGAGGTGATAACTGCCACTCCCTCTGAAGCACACCCCAGCTTTGACAACGAAAACATTAGGTATGGCTCGAGAATTATTCAAAAGATAATGTTCAAAATGGGTCTCACAAATCATTTATTATGACTGAAAGGAAGAAAAGGATGGGTGAGAAATATTACAATTAAACATGAAACATTATTTCTCTTGTCACCAAATCATAATAATATACTTGCATTCTTAAAAAATGTCTAGATAAGTAATTTCCCAGGAAATAACATTTCCACATCATTGGTTACAGAAAATTGACTTCTTTCCATCAAAATATTTTATTTCTGCTCTGTCAAAAACAAGCATAAAGTCTAAGGCACCATGGCTTAAGCTAAGCATTCACTAGTTTGAAAGCTCAGGATGGGGCATATGGGGACTGCTCACCAGATGGTGAATGAACTGTTGTCTGAGAATAACGTTCTCACACATTAAGAACTCTGCCCCGTCTCTGACTTGCCCACTAATGATTACTAAATGGTTTTATGGGCACTCAAAAACGCAACTGTATCCCAGTCAAAAACTCTGAGAGTCACCCCCAAATGTGTAATCATTTATTCTAAAAAAGGAATCTGTTCATTGGGTGAGTGGTTGCGGCTCAGAAGATGGAAGGGCAAATAACCACTGAAAACCCAATTTCTAGGGTGTTTTAAAAATATCTTTGTCATTATGACTGTATGTCCTGTATGACTCGAGCCATATGTTTCTTGACTTCGCTCCTAAGGGCAGAACATATTTAAAAGGTTCAGTGTGAGAACAGGACACTCCCCCAGGAAGAAAGCAGCAAAGGAGAAAATACAAAGGCTCTGCCAACAAATTAGTTGGGCAGCTAGCATTTTCTCAAATTGGTTTAAAAAAATAATAGCACACACAGTGATAAATATATGTCTAAAATAAATACAAATATGCTACACATAAATAAAATTAGGTAGACTTGTGGTTATCACTCTTACAGTGAGCATTTTTATAAAAGAATGTTCATATCATATCACAGTTTCATTGTTATCATGAGTACTAATTCCATATCTTTGGCATAGCCTGGACTGTACTGACGGCTTACGGCACTGTTATGATTTAACTATGTTCCTAGATGTGTTGAAGACTTGGCCCCCAGGTGGCGATGCCAGTTTAAGAGGTGGTGGGACTTTTGGGTGTCACTGGGAACAGCTTTGAAGGTGTACCTGTCCCTCATTCCTTCCTCGCTCTCTGCTTCCTGTCCATCCTGAGTTGAAGAAACCTTTTATGCCACATGTCCCGCCCCCATGGGTTCTTCCCAGCCGCATGAGGCCAAGCCTCTGAACTCCCCCAAACAATCCTGTCTCCCTTCGGTTCTGTCAAGTGTTTGCGACAGCAATGGGATAACTAACACACATGGGGGCGTCTCAAGACAATTTCAACGACGAATTACTTCCTTTGGCATTGGTATTTTCTATTAAGGTTTACTCTGCACTTTGCTTCTAAACTCTCACCAGGAAAGACTGTACGAATGACAGAGCATTAAGACCTTTGTTTCCAAAGATCCCCTTTGTAACAAAGCAAGGTCAAGGTGACCTAGTGTTAAACACAGTGAAATGTGGGGCACTTTTGCAGCAATCTTAGGCTGTGTTGCTAGGACTCAACACCTCCTTTGAAATCCCACGCTCCAGTGATCTGCAGAGGCCACACTTTCTGATACCACAGAGGAGGCTCTGGCTAGCTACCGCCTGTCTTCGCATGTGATGACTCATAGACTCGGGAGACTTACTGCACTTACTCTAAGAATTTGCCCCCTGCATGTTCCCACAGCTGATTCTTACACCGAACCTCATTCTTTTCCAAATACCACTTCATTAGCTAAAAGGCCCATTTAATTACAGTACTTACAGTTTTCTTTTTTGGCAGTGAGTTTTTGCAGATAGCCAACTGGTTTACCAAATGAGAGTTTGGAATCTCCCTTTCAAAAGACTGCCAGGATAATTAAAAGTGGAGGGGGGCTTATTGCACAATGTCTGATGGCCAAGAAGGGAGATGGGATGGAGTGGAGACAAATTCTAACCTACTACTGTGTCTAAGACACAGTGAGTGTATTGGCACAATTCATGTTTCTGTTTTATTGTTATCCAAATATTGAAGAGTCAGACAAGAGAGTAACCCATTACTGCTAAAGTCTGGAGTGCTGGTGAGCGCGCCACGCTGGCAGTGTGTAAAACACTTGTTTGTAGCGGGCGCAGCCGCTTTGTGGAGAGCCGGGAGTGAAGGTCAGGTTCAGGAGCTTTCAGAGCAAGGTGGGGCCTTTGCTGGGCCTGCTGCTGGACAGAAGGGGCTGGCTGCCCATGGCCCTGGCTTGGGGTCCTTGGGTCCTGGCGGAGAGCAGAGCGGGGGCAGAGAGGTGGTGGAAGGCTTTCTGCTGATAGGAGTTGTTGATGTAACTGGCAATCAGAAGGGTGATCTCAAGGATCTAAAATGAGAAAAACGGTCCTGTTAGGCTCCCGAGTTCTCTCTACTGTCCGTGCGTGATTTTAATTGTACTTGCCCAGCCCGCCGCCATGCCCTCCTCTGAAGATCATCGGTTCTCAACTTGTGGGTTGAGACTCCTTTTGGGGTGGCATATCAGATAATCTGCCTATTAGATGCTCATTACGATTCATAACTGTAGCAAAATTACAGTTATGAAGACGCATTGGAATAATATTATGGCTGGGTGCAGGTCACCCCAACAAAGGGTTGCAGCTTCAGGAAGGTTGAGAACCACTGGTCTACATCTCAGTTTTTTTTTTTTTATAGTTTATTTTAACTTTAACGTGCCTGGCACCATCAAGGTACCATCACATTTTCCTATTGCTTCAGTCAACAGAAAGAATGAACCTCAAAGCCCAGTCAAGCTGATTGACAATGCTGGGAAATGTGCCGGTCTGCATTAAGAATTTTAGAGCATCATATCGATTCTACTAAAAACAAGCACCGAAGTTACTGTGATCTTTTGTACTCTACGGTTAACTGCTCTCGCTTAAAACACAGAACTAACTAGTCAGAGCAGGTATCTACCATGAGACAAACAAACGGACTTGAGAAATGCCTAGCTTCGGATCCCTAGGACCCACGGGGAGTGGAAAGAGAGAAATGACGCCAAGTTGTCTCTGACTTCCATAGTGTGCTGTGGCATGCACACAGAGACACACATGTAACATAGACACTGAAATAAACTTTTTTTTAAAACTAAAATTAGATTTATTTTTCAGTACTGGGGCTTGAACCCCAAGGCTTCACTCACACTACACTCAGACTCTGCATCAGACTGTAGCCATGAACCTCAATTACCTGTTAGCACGTAATCTTTTAAAAAATTGCTTTACTGAAAGATGTTGAAACTATATAGTTAACTATAACAAAGGGACATGTACACCTTAACTATAAAACTCTGCTCTTTAATAATCCCATAAAAAATAACCCCACAATAACTCACGACTCACCACACACACACTCTTTTGAGACAGGGATCTTAAGTAGCCCAGGCTGCCCTGAACTCTACCCCACCCTCCCGAACATACTCCTGAATGTGGGCAGATGATCCAGGTAGGGTCATGCAAAAGAGAGTAGAACTCAGATTGAGTAATTGAGGATTTGAGCCCAGGGTTGCTTCAGCGACACCTGTTCTATCTGGAATGCCCTTCGTGTCTTCCTGTGCAAGAGCAACCGGTTGAGAAACTGGCGGAGACGGGTCTACTCACCTTGGGTTTTGCCATGGCAAAAAGTAACTTTTCTGTTGGCCTGTCCTTTGAATGAGTATTAATGACAACCATAAAATCGTCTTGACACCCTCCAAAGGTCATCAGGCTCTTGTACGCGTAGCTGACCATTAACCTCTTCCAAGAAAAGCAAAAGGAACTGTTAATGGGCTGTCCACACCCAAAGAAGAGGAGAAAATGCTAATATTGATACTATGGCAAATGCGAAAATAATGTCTCTCAGATCAAATCTATTGTGGCTAATGTAAATAATAGTTGTACTAAGGTTACTTAGGAATCATCAACCTACACATTTGATCCTGAGAAACTCAAATTAGGAAATATAAACACCTATATTCACAGCACCCAGTAGAAAATATTTGGTAATGTATTTTTATATGTCCGCTCAGATCTAAGGAACTGATGGTTTTAAGATCCAAATGGTCAAAGACTGTACTGGCAGATCCATATGGTTCCCCTGCTAGGCAGACTCTGGAACAAACAGAAACGGTTCATACTGTTCAGTGTCATCCTGTTCTAAATTCCCACAGGTCAATATCCTGTGCCACCAGATGGGAGTGTGAAACACCTTTATAGACAACTGTGTTAAATGGTCCCCTGCCTGCTGAACAGCCAAACCATGTTGTTATCATCGTGTGTGTGTGTGTGTGTGTGTGTGTGTGTGTGTGTGTTAAACAATGAAAGAAAAAGAGGCCAGAGGCCATTATGAAGTTGAAAGAGAGTGGGTTTGTGTGTGCATGGGAGAGGTTGGAGGTATGAAAGGAAAAGAGGAAATGAAATTTCATCTCAAAAACTAAAACCAAGAATTTTCCAGGGCTATCTCACTATTGCCACAGGAAAGGATCTCCCACTGTATCTTTAAAGCAGCAACCATTACCCACCAGACTGAGAAATTTAGGGTTGGGGTGTGTCGCTCAGTGGCAAAGCACTGGCCAAGCATGTGTGAGCTCCCAGCACAACAGCGAAAATTACCAGATAGCCTATGAAATATGGCAGACGATAAATTCACATAAATAAATGAACACATAAAAGGAATACTTTGATTTCTTTTTTTCTATTTTGAAAATGGAGACAGGATCTTGCTGTGTAAGCCCACTCTGGCCTTGAACTTGCAACCTTCCTGTTTCAGGGTCTTCAACGCTGGGGCTACCATCATGTGCCACACTGTCCACCTCAAGTTCACTTTACATTATATACTCTATGTTTTAGTCAAAATTTAATCTTAATGTAAGTAGACATGGTGACATTATGGAAAGCTATACAAAATATGCTATAGAAACATCAATGAAACTGAAATTTAAACTTTGGCAATACTTTTTAATATCTTAAACATTCTTATTTTATACATTAAAAAAACACAAACTGTGGAGGGCCAGTGATATGGCTCAACGAGTATAGGCACTTGCTGCCAAGGCTGACCACCTGAGTTTGATTCTTGGGTCCCATAGAGTGGAAGGAAAGAGCCGAGTCCAGCAAGTTGTCCTCTGACCTCCACTTGAGTACACACACACACACACACACACACACACACACACACACACAGATAAAGGATTACCATAGTACTTAAAAATACCAACCAGAGCCATGACTGTAACTTAATCCCACCATCTTAATTATTTTTTTTGCATACACAACACACAGCCTGTCTCCTCTCATTTAAAACACCAGACTGTAACATAATTGTTCCTGTAAAGTGACTATTAGAGGGTTTCAGGAAGAATGTTGTCTAAGCTCAGGGGACAATCAGAGCACAGAAATTCAGAATCTCATGACCTTCCCCTTACTGTATGTACCTTGAGCAATGGAGATAGGAGGTTTAATGACAGACATCGGGTTTAATCTTACCATGGTGGTGTACTCTAGGATGCTCAATCCATTTTCGTGGATGGCCAGCCACACAAAAGTGTTGCCAGATGATGAGGGAGCTATGGGCTACAGAGAAGTGAAAATATGCTCTATTATGGATGCTAAGCAAAATTACAGTCATATTTTCAGCCTAGATGCACATAAGATCTGCCATTAAACACCCCCCCAAAAAAACCCCTGATAATCCCTGCTGTAAAGGTGGTGTGTCACGCTAAAGGGAGCAGCAGACATTGTCTCAGGCCACCTGACTTGCAGGCTCAAGTCTTTATTCAGTAATGAGTGCATTCAGACAAACACCATGGGTCAGTTTTCTTATCTTTCACACAGGAACACTGATCTTTGCATCTTGTGTTTTTGTGTCACAGATTTAATAGCTGTCGAAACTTTTACTGTTTGGGCTGGAGAGATGGCTCAGAGGTTAAGAACACTGACTGCTCTTCCAGAGGCCCTGAATTCAAGTCCCAGCAACCACATGGTGGCTTACAATCTTCTGTGGTGAGATCTGGCGCCCTCTTCTGGCAGGCAGATATGAATGCAGGCAAATACTGTACATATAATAAATACATCTTAAAAAAAAAAACCAAAAACAAACAAACAAAAAATACGGCTTCTAGTTCCAGTAGCAAAAGTAATTTATAACACAGCAGTCAGTGAGCCGGAGTTATTTCTAACCTAATAGTGAGCCAGACAGAGATAGAACATGCCTGGAGTTTGACCTTTCTAGTCCATGTTGTTTATTAAAAGATGAGGAACCTGAGATCAGGCAGTTTGACCAAGTTGTCCCAAGTATTTATTAAGTGGCAATGGCTTCCAAACCCTGACGGTGGGCCCCGGAAGAGGATGGTAGCTCAGTCTCAAGGAGCACGCAATGCGAGAGTACAGAAGCCGGGATACAAGCCAGGATGAGTTTATCTTTGAAGCCAAAGAGTCCCAGGTGGCACCACGCAAGGAAAAGACCGAAGGACACAGTGTGAGACCAGTCGTGTGACTTGAGGGAAGCGCCTGCTTTCGGCATGTATGCCAGAGGTCCTGGATTCAGAGCCCAGCGCCAAAACCAAAAAGCAAAATGCTCCCAAAAGAAAAGGTCTAGGCTTTCCTTTAGGGGTCAGGGCCAGCCACCTCCCAGGTGGCTAGTTTACAGGCCTGTTGCAAAGCCGGTGTTTGCTGGGAACTGCCTGGAAGTTTGGTACAACTCATTGGAGACTGAGTTTTATGCCTCCAGGAGCTTAGCACAAGGCTTGCCAAACAGGGTTCGGTAGATGCTCATTAAATAATTAAGCCAATGAGAAAACGATTTACGGTGAGTGAGTGAGTGAGTGAGTGAGTGTGTGTAGGGGGGTGAGTACCCAGAACTTTGTGTCTTTAAGTTGCTGGGAAATTCCTCATCTTTTAATAAACCCAAAGCACGCTGTATTGGGGTAAATGTGACCAGCCAAGTTCACAGGGGTTTTTATGATGTGTCCTCCTTCCCATCCTTTCTTACTTTTGCAAAAAACAACTTGGCACCAAAGAAGGGCCACTTCCTGGCCACTGTCAAGTAAATGCGTGCACAGTCAGCCGCGCTGTGTCCCCGGAGGGCCATCCATCTGGTTGAGAGTCGCTGGTAAAGCTGCCTAAAAAAAAACCCAAAAAAAACCAAAAACAAGACACAGAAGCAAAACCATAAGTATTGAGTCATCCTCCTAGACAAAGCCCCCTTCAGCCCATGCCAAACTCCCTTGCCCCCAGCCCCCACCTTTCTGGTGAATTTTCACCAAATTCTCCCATGATACTCAGGTGTACAACACAACCAACCAAGTAAATCTTTATCATCTACAAGGCTAACATTAAACATAAGTGTAAGTCAGTTTGCCAGGTAATTTCTCCTGAGAGTATTTTCACTCTTCAAAGTTCTGAAGAGCCCAAATGTTACAATCTGGAGGAATGTTGAGTTCATTGCGTCTCACACTGAACCCAGGAAGCTACTTTCACTTCATAGGCAAAAGCTTCTTTATTATCAGGGTTAACCCAGGATTAAGATCAGACGACACAGTGGTCTTTTTATTTAAAAAGTTGTTTCGAACTGGATATCGTGGTATACACGCCTATAACTTCAGTATTTTTGAGGGAGAGGCAGGAGGATTGGGAGTTTAAGGTCATCTTTAGCTACCTACCAAGTTTGAGGCTAGCCTGGGCTACACAAGACTGCCCCCCAAATATGTAAGCTTATTTATATCATCATTCAATGAATATATACTTCAAGTATCGTGCCGTAAGTGACAAATAGATTCTAAAGTTTTGAAAGACATCTTAAAATATGTAAAACCTCTTGGGAGCACATTGGAATTAAAGATCCTAAGAGAAGCTTCAAACAGAAAAGTATACTAAAATGCTAGTGTAACTCTACCCTCCAAAGAGCTGAAAATAGTGTCTTACCGTAACTGTTCTTCAGAGCAGCCTTCCCTGTACCTTTTAGGGTAAAATTTTTCTATGACTTGTTTGAGGTTTTGGTTTGCTTTGCACTGGTTAGTCACAAGCCCGGCTGGAGTTGAGAAAGGTCTCTCAAAATCTCCAATCTCCACCTGATGGGAGAGCCCCCAAAAGAGAAGACACAGGGCAATGAGAACAGCTTTCACACAGAAAATCGCTTTCCGTCACCCGAAACATTCTCTGTGATCAGCAAACACAAGTCTGCCTGTCACAATTGGGAGGCTGTAAAACTTACAATCATACATCCGAGCTGTTGTTTTTAAGCATCAGTTTTGCCTGAAATTTAACTTAGCAGAAATTCTGTGACAAACAATCCGGTCCCATTTCTACTCGGAACTCCTGTCATGAACTTTTCGTGTTGCCATGACAGAAAATTCTGACGATAGCAACTTAAGAGAGAAAGGGTTCATTTTAGTTCACAGTTGGTTCCATTTCACAGTCTGTTGTCATGTGAAATCCACATGACAGGGAGCAACGGCTGCAAGCTTGCATTCTTCTGACCATGGGCAGGATGAGACCAGTAAGGTGTTCACAAACTGTGAACCAAGGGAAACCACCTCCCCTGAAGAGACTCTGAAATACTTCAGAGTTGTGGTAGAATATTTATTATTTTCAGGTGTGTGGCTTTTGTTTATGCTGTATTTGTTTAACTCTGTGAAGCTGTGTGACTTTGCCTGTCTAAAACACCTGATGGTCTAAGGAAGAGCTGAACGGCCAATAGTGAGGCAGGAGCAGGGATGGGTGGGGCTGGCAGGCAGAGAGGATTAAATAGGAGGAGAACCGAGGAGCAAGAAGACAAGGAGCAGAGGATGTCAGGTGCCAGCCTCTCAGCCAGTCATGGAGTAAGAAGGAAAGTAAGATAATGAAGAAGAAAAATAAAAGCCCAGAGGAAAAGGGTAGGAATAAGTCAAGCTAAGGCTGGGCATTCATAACTAAGAATAAGCCCCTGTGTGTAATTTATTTGGGAGCTAGGTGGTGCCCTCCCCCACAAAAGCCAAAAGCATAAAACAGTGCACAACACAGAGTATTCTATCACAGCAACAGAGAAGAAACTAATCCACCCTCTTAATAGTATTTGCTAAAAGAAAACAGCCTGATTACTGAGTATAACACAAGATTGTCTTTCATTGTAAAGTCCTATTTTAATCACTAGTAAACAAGGTGAAATGACAGTTAAAAATAAAAAAGGTGAGAAAAAGACTAAGAAATTCAGCAACAGTATCAATTGGCCTTTTTAGGGGTCTGTTGCATACAATGGTGGTGAGGGCCACACAGTCTCATTACTTCCCCCCTAGATTTTCTCTAAGAACATTACTGTTCTCACCAACTCTTGGCTGGAGAGGTGGATCAGTGGTTAGAGCACTGGCTGCTCTTCCAGAGGACCTGGGTTCAACTCCCAGTACACATGGGAGCTCACAGCTGTCTGTGGCCCTAGTTCCAGGGGGTTCCGATACCCTCACACAGACACACATGCAAGCAAAACACAAGAGTACATAAAATAAAAATAAATTCACCAACTCTTCCTATTAGTGGATTAGTCTGAGGAATATAGCCCTTTGTTCCCTACACTCCTTTCCTTATAGACCGTGCAGAGGCTATCCTCAACCTGCTCAGAATCTCCCTGTCTGGTACCTGACATACCAGATAGCATATCAGTGACTGGAGACAGTCAACTCAGATAACCCCTAACATGCCCTCACATGTTAGAAATACATATCCTTAAGGGGCTGGAGAGATGACTCAGGTTGAGCACTGGCTGCTCTTCCATAAGAACCTAGGTTCAATTCTTAGTATCCATATGGTGGCCCACAATCATTTGTAACTCAAGCCCCAGAAGATCTGATGTCCTTTTCTGGCCAAGGATGCAGATGCATGTGGTACTCCCAGACCTAACATTCAAGCACAACCTCATACACACAAAATAAAAATAAAATCTCAAAAGAGGAAGATTTAATTTTTCTTAGAGACTTTTTAAGAGACAAAATTAAAAACTGAAGAAGATAAATGTTAGAGATGAGAGTGATTTTCATGGGGCATTTATACCCCTGGAAAGGTGACCCCTAGCATGGCAAGCAGCCTGGGTGGGACCTCTCTGTGTAGAAAGTGAGGGTCTCCCCCCTTTCTGTCTTTCCCATTTGTAGACAGAGAGCACTGAGTGAAGCACACGTGCTTTCACGTTCCGATGATCTTAAAATACTCTCAAAGCAAACTCAGTGACTAAGTGTTCAATCTTCCGAGAACAAAACTGCTCCTGGGAAAGACTGCTAAACAGGAGGGACAGGAATAGCGGTGGCCCTGGGGGAAGCCAGTCAATGATACTAAGCAGAGCCAGCCACAAGTATTCATGAGCCACCAAGGTTTTATACTGCAATACACACATATAAAACATCACAGAAGCTCCCCAGAGTTTGAGCCGTTTGAGCCTCCAGGAATTTTCAGAAAGGTTCCCCACGAGGGAAGCTAAAGGGCAAGATGAGATTAGCAGGGGACGGACAGAGGCTGAACCATTCCAGGCACCTGGGCCAATCACTAAGATTAGTACAGTCTAGAAAGGAAGCAGGTGCCATGCAGGGGTGAAGGGTTTTGCACACACCCGTGCTCCAGGCAGGAAGAGTTAGGAATTTGAGGCAACTGAAGCAGCAGCCAGGGGTAGATCATGAATGGCCCTGGATATGAATGAAGAGGTGACATCTGGTTTTTGTTGTCTCCTTCTGAGGTGCTAATGCCATGCAAACAACTCCCCATGGGCAGGTGACACTCTGCTAGCTTCCAGTCTCAGATCTACGGAAAATGGCAAATTCTCTTCCATGGTCTCTTTTGGAGACTACGTACGACGTTTGCCACTCAACCACCATCCTGGTTGGAAACTCAAACAGTTCCCACATGAATACAAGTAGCTATAGAGTGGGTGGTTTTTGTAGAAGTCTCAACTGCACCACAGGCAGACATGCAAGCGATAGAGCCTGTGATCTTTCTACCTTTGCCTCTCAGGTGCTAGGGTTATAAATTTACAGGCATTCCTCACCGCCACCCTCAACTCAAAATCATTTGCTAGGCAGCAATGGGTAACTGGGAAAAAATCCCTCTGGCAGCTGTGTGAAGGATAACTTCGTGGGGGGACCACCTGAGAGAGAGAGGCATAGGTTCAGAAGGTGACCGGAGAGCAAAGGGTGTGAGGGAGGTCTGAATCACGGGAAGGCAAGTCAAAACAGAGAGTGGCGAGCAGAGGACCAAGTGTGAGTTTAAAGTGAAAAGATGAGGCACCAGTGAGCAAGGGGGAGAGCAGAACAGGAAAAGGCCATGAGAACTGCTGGAGTGAAACCCTGGAGGGAGGACTTCCTGGAGTGGAACCCAGCAGCGGTGGGGGCTTGGTGGGGAGAATTAAGAAGGACAGCGTTGTGATGAAGATGCAGAATGTGGAGAAAGGGGACTATAACTAATATACTTTTCTTTTGTCTTTTTTTTTTTTTTTTTTTTTTTTTTTTGGTTTTTACGAAACAGGGTTTCTCTGTATTGTTTTGGAGGTTGTCGGTCCAGCCTGGCCTCGAACTCACAGAGATCCGCCTGCTTCTGCTTCCTGGGTGCTGGGATTAAAGGCATGCGACACCACCGCCCCGGCCTAATATACTTTTCAATGGGCTGGATTTAAGGAGTGATGGGGGACGTCCTTCTGTATATCCGTTTCTCCTATTGGCTGATGAATAAAACACTGTTTGGCCAATAGAGGCAGGAAGATAGGCGGGACTGGGAGACCGAGGAGAATTCTGGGAAAGGTAGGTAGAGAGACTGGGAAGAGAAGCCATGTAGTGGAGGAACGAGTAGGTTTATAGAAATGGGTTAATAATTAAGACAGAGCTAGCCAGTAAGAAGCCCTAGCCATCAGCCAACAGTTTAATAATTAATATAGTGTCCATGTGCTTATTTGGGACTGAGAAGGGTGGTGGGACCTGGTGGCAAAAAGCTCTATCAACAAAGGAGCCCTTTAGACACACATGAACTGGAGTGAACAGATTTGGTGAGGGCGGCGGCTGAGCTAAAGAACAAATGAGATGTCCTAGGATGATGTGTAGGGTGAGAACCATGGATCAGAGACCCGGGTATCTGTCCACGTGGTACTTCCTAGGGAAGTTTTTATCCCCCTCCTTGATTATCCTGTGCAGACTCCCCCCTCCTGAGTATAGTGTCCTTAAATGACCTGGGCATTGGCTGCTTAGACGGAACTACCTCCCAGCCTCCTACGGAGGTAGGCAAGGTGATGGTTTAAGATCTAACCAGGGGCTGAGATACAGGTACATAGTCACCATGCTCAGAATAAAATACCATCCTGTTTGGTTAAGTCACTATTAATTTGTGTGTATGTGTTATGTCCAAACTTACTTCTAATTTATATACTAGGTAAATAAAAGAAAGCACTCTAGCTCTGTCCAAGGCGTGTTCCTATTAGGTTGCAGGTTGCACACAGTGTCTTTAGGACCACCAGTCTATACTCAGGCTCCTTCCTTCATTAAATGCAAAGCTTTGAGCAACCCCTTCCAAAGAACCAAGAAATGCATTTCCCTTTATGGAATGTAGTGTCTTACCCTATGTTACCACAACTGTCAGGAGTCAGAAAATAAAAATGTAATAATAATGCCTGTGGTTTTTAAATGTCTTCTTAATCACAATAAAATGAATTGAAAGCCTTGCTGAGGGCCTCCTGTCTTGCTGCATTTAACAGAAGAAACTGGCATCTTCCCATGTCCTTATACTATTCTGTACAACACAGGGGAAGTTACCTGAGCTAAGAGCGCCGCCATCTCTAACGCCAGGTCCTTGTTGAGCGGAAAAAGGCCATTTATTATCTGATCATTTGTCTGGTACAGCAACAGTAGCTTCTCTCTGTCAGTCTCTCCACGAGTTTGCATTGAGAAATACAGTCTGGAAAAAAAAAGAGAGAAATGCCTCATGATACGCTTATTTTTCTAATTAAACATCCTACATTTACTGTGTGTGCATGTGTGTACGTGGTGGGGGGGTTTGTGCACACGTGCACATACGTGTGTGGAAGTCAGAGGACAATGTGTGGGAGTTCTCTCCCACACTAGTTCTGAGGATCAAACTCAGGGCATCAGGCTTTGTGGCAAGTGCCCTTACCCACTAAGCCGCCTCACCGCCATCCCCGCCCCCAGCGCCCCCACTTGCTACCACAATAGAGACAGAACCAAGTACAAGCAAGGGCTCAGCCTCTGAGCTCCACTACATGATACAAACAGACCACTGCCATCGGGGAAACATGGGACAAACTGCTTGGAAGTGGAAGGACCCTTCTATTTACAGGAGTAAATACAGGAGTAGCTAGGACAACTATGATCCACCACGCCCGGCTTGCGGCACGACTTTTGTTTGCCCAGGCTGGAGCTCCCTGTGCTGTGGGGCACAGGTGTTGTGGATGTGCAACGTGCTAAGACAACAAAGTAGGTGAGCAACACCGTGATGTAGGAGGAAAACAATGCCGCCATTAACCATGGGACTTACTAGAGGCGCACACAGATGAGGTAATAAAAGGGCGGCTTACCACACCGCTAACCACACCCACTTTAGGCATGATTAAAGACGGTATACAGACGTAGGCGGTGAACTATGTCACTAGCCAGGCCCACTTTTGGGCATGGCTAGGGGCATTACAGAGGAAGGTATAAAAGACTGAACAACGGAAGTCTCGGCCTCTTTTTCTGGCTTTCGGCTTCCAGTTCGATGGTAGAAAACTACTTGGCTCATCTGGGTTACTTGTTTGGTCTCTTGTGAGTAATTTCTACAATAAATACTTATTTTTACTTTCAGTGAGTGTGCCGTTTATCGTTGCAGCATCACCGAGACAAGCCTGAATGTCGGGATGACAACACAGCGGTGAGGGAGAGAGAGGAGACCTGTGTGAGCACACCCCTTAGTTACAGCATCTGTCTCTGAACATCAGGGCAGGAGAGGCCAGAGACATGGCGAGTGATCTCAGTGAAGCCTGTCCTACCCACGGTTCTGACCATCTTCCTGCCAAGCCCGGCTGACAACCAGACATGTTTCTAGAAGTCAACCACAGCCCCATTTCCATCCAAGATGGAAAATGCAAAGACAAAAATGCAGGATTGTTAAGCAGACCGGAAGATGTAGAACAGCAGACATAGACAATACATGCCAAATGTAACCAGGAAAGTGGTATGGCATGAAGATAGAGAGGTTGGAGATGAAAGGTTTTACAAAGGGCCCATTTCCTCACTGAAGTAAGGAACTACACGGTCCATTCTCGAGATCCACCGGGAAATGGGAGAATTCAGCCTGGGAAAGAAAAGTGAAATGCTTCAACAAAGCAGGGGATACAATCCCACACATGCATAGTCCTGGAGTCCGGGCTGTAGGAGGGCAGGCTGAGACTCCGAGGAACTAGGCAAAGCTCCGGAAGAACAAGGAAAGCATCGCAAAGAAGCCCAAGAAGAGTCTCCAAGTCAGAGCGGGAAGCCCAGCCAGGCAGGGTGGTGCACACCTGTAATCCTTGCATTCAGTAGACATGAGTTCAAGGCCAGCCTAGGCTACATGCTGAGATCCTATCTTTAAGAAAAGGATCTTGATTGTGGAGTCTTTAAAATGTGAGGATCACTAGAAGAAATAGGATAGGCTAGATGACCTAAGACCCTTCTTGACTTACAAGTCAATGGATGCAGGTGCTCTTATAGCCGGCTAACTGTGGAGATGGGACTGTTAAACCACATTCCAGAAAACAGCAATTACAAAGTGTTATCAAAAATAATCTGGGATTTCAAGTAGGGGATAGAAGAGCGCTCCCCACAGGAAGGATCTTGCCAGTTTGCTTTGTTGAAAACCACACCTTGACTTTTGCAATGTCAAGAATATAGCAAGGAATAAAATAAAATGAGAACCTTTCTATACAAGTTAGGATTGAAATGTTAGTTTCCAAGCGACCGTGTCTGAGAGTGTGTTCAAAGCCCATTAATTTGACCTCAGATCCCTGAGTCAAAATAATTAAAATTCCATAACTTGCTAAATATAAATTTTAGATTCCATGATGAAGGAAAACCGGTATTTTAGGCCTTACAAAGCAAGTTGGCAGAAGAAGAATCGGATTTCTGGCGGCATTACAGGTCACAGCTAGTTCCCCTCCTGACTGTGCCACTGGGAATTAGGGTTCATTGTTTAAGCTATTTATAAACATATGCAAAGCTTGGCCATGTTTAGAAGCAGTATCCTTTCTCATAGCCATGTCTCTCCAGGCTTTTCAGACTCTCTTGTTTTGTTTGTTGTTGTGCAAACAAGGTAGTTTCATCATGCTTCTCTCTCTCTCCTCTCTTCCTCTCTCCCTCTCTCTCCCTCTCCCTCTCTCTCTCTTTCTCAGTGATTTAAGGCCTTAAAGGCATTCCTCCTTATTTGTAATGATTTATTTATCATGTATACAGTGTTCTACTTGTATGTATCCCTGCACGACAGAAGAAGGCACGAGATCTGATTCTAGATGGCTGTGAGCCACCATGTGGTTGCTGGGAATTGAACACAGGACCTCTAGAAGATCAGCCAGTGCTCTTAACCAATGAGCCATCTCTCCAGACCCCTAAAGGCATTATTCTTACCTGTAGGTCTTTCAAATCACCTCCATCCATTTCACCCAAAATTAATTTTGATTCTAACCACAGTCATTGTAACCAGAATTGGTATGTGCTAATCAACCATAAGGTACTAATTATTAAGAATTGTCTTAGACATGGTGGTCTTTCCATTTTGTTCCAACGAAATCAAACTGAATCTTGACCTAACCACAAAGAGATCAACAGATGGGGACAGCAAAATGAAAGCCTTCATATCAGTACTTCTCAGGCTTTCAGAGTGTATGAATTATCCAGAATGCTGCTTAACAGCAGACTTCCAGAGGCTTTAGCAGCCACTCTTGCCAGTCACCAAACAGCCAGAGATGAAGGCTACCACCAAGAGAGACATCAGTAGAACTACTGTGATACAACTTAAAGACACCCTAATGTCTCAATTTACCACAGCAAATCCCCAGGAGTAGACTTCCTACTCCCAGGAATAAGTCATTTATCAGCCTGTGCCATGTAGGGCGTGCTGGACAGATGACATCTCGGGATCCACTCAAGGATGGAATCACCTTATACACTCAAAGTAGAGACAATAGCTACTTGCAAAATGAATTCTCCTAGGTCAGGGGACAGCCTGGAAAACCACTGTCTTACACAATATTGTGATGGCTAATCTTGCTTGTCAACATGTGTTAGAGAAAACCTCCAAGGAGGGATTGCCCCCGTCAAATTGTTCTGTGCACATAGCTGTGGGGCATTTTTCTTGATTGTTAATTGATGTAGGAGGGCTCAGCCCTCTGTGATTGGTGTCAGCTCTGGGCAGCTGGGCCTGGGCCCTATAAGAGATGACTGACCAAGAGCCTGGGAGGGGGCAGGTAAACAGCTTCAAGCTCTTGCGTTGAGTTCCTGCCATGGCTTCCTTTGATAATGGACTATATAACCTGAACTCCTTATTTCCCAAGTTGCTTTCAATTTTGCTGTTCACCAGATGGGCAAATCCTCATGTTTACAAGCTCCTGAATAAAGAGGCTCCGATAGGTAACAACTAGCATTGGTTCATAATAGGGGTTTGGTGGCGCACACCTTTAATCCCAGCACTCGGAGGCAAAGGTAGGTGGGTCTCTGTGAGTTTGAGGGCAGCCTGGTCTACAGGGCGAGTTCCAGACAGTCAGAGCTGTTACACAAAGAAACCCTGTCTCGAAAAAGACAAAAAACAAAAACAAAACACCCCCAAGAAAACGTGGGGGGAGGTCTGTTCAAGCAGAAGGTGGCCAGCCCCTGGTGGCTGAGTGTGTAGTCACAAAATATGATTCTTCACCTTAATTGAACCATTTTCTTATTGATGAAGATGCAAGCCCTCTGTTTTGTTTTTTCACTATTCCAAAAATATGGAAAGAAACTGGGCCACCCTAGAATATTCTGTCCACTTACGTGGGTTTTTCTGTAGGGTAAATTATTAAAAAGAAATGTTGAACTACATGAAAGGCTGTCCTGGTCTTTTTATATTATACAGTAACTTCACTTTGTACATTCCAAAGCTAAGTCTCTTAAGAGCTTCCAGAGGCAATTCTGAAAGAATTCGACATTATGCCAGTAACTCCACCAGGTTCTTGGCCTGATCTTTTATAGATTAATTTATGAGCTATGAGACTCAAAAAAAAAAACTAGAAAAACATCTTTTTTGGAGGAAGATTTAATGTGAAGTGGTCCAGTTCAAAGCTACCTTCTGCTAAAATAGGTTAAGAAAGAGTATTTGAGAAAGAATGAAAATTGAGTTTCTGACCGTGTGCCAAAAATTGTTATAAATTTTATCTATTGAGAAGGCTCATACTACAGCACCACTGGCAGTTTCCTGACATGGACTCTTAGCCTGTCTCCATGGACGCTAACAACTCCTTCAGAGACAGTTTGCAAAGTTGCTGTTCTCCGCCTCTTTCTGAACTTAGCCTTAGTATCAACACCATCTCAATAAAAGCCCCCAGAAGCCTCCAGCCTAGGTCAGGGTCACGCTGTAAGCTTTCATAGAGCTATGCTAGGTCAGTGTGTAATGATGTATTTATTAGAGTGGCTGTCTTACCTAACTTGGAAATTCCAAAAGGTTGGAGATTTTTCGCCTGTCCCGATCACCATTTTACCCTGAGCATCTATCTAAGCAAACAGCTTAGAGCTGAGGGGTGGGTGGAAGAGGGTGGAGGACAGAAGGTGACAGAACAGAGAAAGAATGAGAATTAGAAACAAAGACTGGTGTGGCAGTTTCTCCCAGAACAGAGCTATTATCTGTGGAATATAGACACAAGTGCAAATCTGATGACTTCCAAGGCCAGTCTAGGAAACCAGAGCGCAGGCCCACGGTTTGGACACAGCTGCACACTCGGCTCCGCCAGGCAGCTCCAGTATTCCATACCTGTTTTTGTAAGTCAGACGGACAGTCCTTGTGCCCTCACACTTGCCAGGCTGCTGCTCTTTGGATGCCTGCTCCCATTTAGAAATAATGTCACAGATCTAGGAAGGAAACAGAAAGCTGAGATCCACAGGACTTTTAAAATCAAGAGTGTCTGTGAGTTCAAACAAACCAAACTCACTGGAGCCTTTTGGTTTTAGCTTCTGTAGAGCTCTGCACTTAGGCTTTAATGATAGATACATTGCTTTTTTTTTTTCTGGTTCACTTGTCAAACTGGATACACATTAACTTTGGACTGTGGCCATGCAGTTTTACTCAGAAAGGAATTTTAATGCAGGATTGCATGGGGGTTCCAGGGATTTTTTTTCTTCAAGATTTGGTCACTGAAGAAGCAATTTTTTCCACCTTGTAAATTTATCAAGATTGGAATAACAAGGTACCCCAAAGACGTCTGAGACAAAAGGGGTGCTCTCCTTTTCACACTGGCTGCTTGGTGTAGCCAGGACCTTGTCTCCCTCTATTTCCCCACTCACAAAAGAAGTGGACTGTATCTGTAAGGTCTCTGCAGCTCAGTAACTCTATATTTCTAATTGTGGACATCATTCCATGAAACTTTGTTTTCTTTCTTTTAACCATGAACGAGAAAAAAAGATGTTTTAAAATACCCTTTTCTGTGTTTTCATTGGTTCCTTCCCTACCAGACTGCAGTTCAGTTTTCCCCCAAGGCCCAGTTCTGAAATTTCCCTCTATGCAAAGGGTCACAGCCCTCTTAGAACATGTGTCACTTCAGTTGTACTCTAAGACAATCAGTACATGAAGCTGCTCTTTTCTAAGGAAACTAAAGTCGGCTGTGAGCAGAAGCCTTATCTGTGCCTTCAGACCATTTAGCCCTCAGGATACTGGGAACAGCTGTGAAATACTGATGATCATAGATGGCATGCTAAGAATTCTGTGTTACCACCCCGCCACTCCCCCCAAAAAAAGGAAGGGAGAAAAAAAAAATTCTACAGCTTCGCCAAAATTTGGCAGTTTTAAATAATGGTACTGATTGGGTTTCTTACGTCTTTGGACAATTCCTGACCTAAAGTTGCACAGACTGATAAGTCTTTTGCTATTTTTGTTGTTGTTGCTGTTTTGTTCAGTTTGGCTCCTTTGAAGAAAGAAATTTCACCTTGATATTTCCCTGAAGACAATGCTCAAGGTCTCTTCCAGAAGGGTCATCAGTGAACAGTGCAAACCCAGACTGTGCTGGCTTCCTCATTCCCGTGTCCTGGTTCAAGGTATTCAAAAATTCTTCAACTGTGGTGGATGCATCGAACCCAACTACCTAGATGAAGATAGCAAGACAGTTAGTTCTCTTAATGAAAAACACAAGCACTGAACAGGTCTCAGAGGAAGCAAGGTAGTGTGTTACTCTAGGTGCTTTAACTCTCTTTTTTGTTTTTGTTTCTGTTTTTCGGGATAGGGTTTCTCTGTGTAACAGTCCTGGCTGTCCTGGAACTTGATTTGTAGACCAGGCTGGCCTCCAACTCACTGAGGTTCACCTGCCTCTGCCTCCTGAGTGCTGGGATTATAGGCGTGTGCTACCACCGCCTGGCTTAACTTTTTTCCCAGCGCTGGAGAAAACAAGCAGATTTGGTAGTCAGCTTGCTATAAGAATCCAGAAATTTCAGCTTCAGCCAACAGACAGACAGGAATTCAAAATGGAAAGGTCACTTGACAGTTTTAGATATCATGTAGAGATTACAATTAGGTTTCCCCATTAGAAACAAGCTAAGAAATACATTACAATCTGCAATCAACATGCACACGAAAGAAAATACATTCATTTTAATAAATAAGCACCTTGCCAGGCGGTGGTGGCCTTTAATCCCAGCACTCGGGAGGCAGAGGCAGGCAGATCTCTGTGAGTTCGAGGCCAGGCTGGACCGACAGCCTTCAAAACAATACAGAGAAATCCTGTCTCGTTAAAAACAAAAATAAATAAATAAGCACCTTTATGTATTTAATATTTATTCTTAAAAAACACATTTATTTGTGTGTGTGTGTGTGGTATGCGTCACGTTGAGTGTGAGGAGGTCAGAGGACAACTTTTGAGTGTGGGTTCTAGGAATTGAGCTCAAGATGAAAGGCTTATGGGGACAAAATGTTCAATGTGGGTTTGCTTTTCCTGTCTCTCTGTCTCCCAGCTTGGCTCTCTCAGAGATCGGTGTCTGCAGGCTGGCAAGCCCACCTGATAGATCCCGTTCATGAAGTGCACCGGTATGCTGAAGGGGAGGGAGTGATGGTACGGGTTACGGAGGAGGGTGGAGAGGATCTCCATCCGAGAGGGCCTCGCCTCCCGATCTCCATTTTGCTGTGTTCTTTGCACACATCGCTGGCAGTAAATGGCATATTTCCCAAATTCTGTCCTGTAATGCAAAACTTAAGATTAAAAAATCTAAGGATAAACTTAACTAAGACCATCTAAGATGTATGATTTTCACAGTAATATCAAACTGTTAGAATGTTTATGGGAATCCAGTTTCTCTTATTTTGCAATAAACTCAATGTTCCTATGCAGTTTCTAAAAAGATATGTCTGCATTGCTATAACCACACACTGATTTAAAATTGCCAGTAATTATACAGTCAATATTTCATTACTATGCTAACAAATTGAAAGAAGATACTACATAAAGAATAACGTGCTACAACAAAACTACGGGGTGGAGGTCTCCACATTGACCCCAAAGCCTTGGGCATAGTAGGCAAACACTGTACCTAAGTCACACCCCTAAGTTTCCCAGCATCCTCTTTTGGAGATCATGCACATTACTCCACTGTTAGACAAGGTAAGAAAATGCCTTCAAACAAAAAGCACATCATATAAACAATACACTAAGCAAAACTATCCAAGAACATACACATACAAGTGGGATGGAGACTTTTATCTCCCCTTACATACATAAAGCATAAGATTAAACACAAATTAGTTTGAGTTTAGAAGATACCATTTCTAAATACACTTATTTATATTCAAGTGATTTTCACACTCAGTGGTGTCACCCTTTGTCAGGGGATCCTCAGTCATTATTGTCTCTAGACTGTGTTATGGACTGCAGTGTATTTTCCTGTTTCCCAAGCTGCTTTTTGTTTCCTTGTATATATTTGTTTGTGTTAGTCACAAGGTTAGCACCCCAACACAAACTTCTTGGGCCGGGGTGGGCTTAGGAGGTAGTAGAGAGTTTACCAAACATTCACAAGGCCCTGGGTTTGAGGCCCAACACCACCAACCAAGCAAGCAAAAACGACTAACATAAGCCTCTCTCAGCTGACAAAATGAACCCAGAAAAGCCTTGGCCAACTGCCTTAGACCCTAGTCTAAAAAGATCATTCTGATTAATTTGATATTAAATATATTTTTAAAGAGGATTAAAAGAAATTAGAAGCAACTCTAATACAACTTTAAAACAAAGGAAGACCATGGAGGAAGACTCCCACAAAAAGAATCCAAAGTGGAGAAGAGCGGTGAAAGGGGAAACTAAGGAAACAAGATAATTTTGTTGCTTTCACCCATGGATCCCAAGTCATTCGTACTTGCAATGCACACTGTCTATTCGCAAAAAAAAAAAAAAAAAAAAAAATGTTCTTTGGCAGACCATCAAGCTCTTGAATTAATCTGGCATAAGATATTTAGCATTACAAAGGGGACGTTTTCCAAGCGCTACGGTAAACGGTAACGGGATGCCTCCTGCCCCAATACTTGGTTTGCGCAGTCTTTTGAGAATATACCCGGCAGGTTGTTAGATACTTATGACTTGCTGTAGACTCGTGAGGCCACACAAATGGCTCAGCTGGCGAGCGCGCTGCGCACCTGGTATCTGCATTCCTTCTCAGATGGAGCTGCAGGAGCCACAGGAAAGGGTGGTGGGGGAGGAAGAGGCCAACGCAGAGCGCCAGGAGCTGCCAGCCCTGGGTGGGGAGAAGAACAGTTCATTAGAAGCCAGGGCAGGCAGACGCGCATATGCGGCAGAGCAGGGTACAGCTCGCCTCTTACATTCACCAGACGACTCAACGTTGGGTCAGACACATGACCCGCCTAGTTTTACCTACTGTCTAGGACTTGCAGGAGCCAAGTCTCCTAATGGATTCAGCGGCTCTTTGTGATACATCACACGCAAAGGTTAGGGACTTCGCTCTCCTTTTACTTATCCACTGAAACATATCTTTGAGAAAAGCAGACTACAAAGAAGTAAAAATAGTGGGGCGTTGGTGGTGCATGCCTTTAATCCCAGCACTCAGGAGGCAGAGGCAGGCGGGTCTCTGTGAGTTGGAGGCCAGCCTGGTCTACAGAGCGAGTTCTAGGACAGCCTGCAAAACAATACAGAGAAACCCTGTCTCAAAAAACAAAAACAAAACAAAAACCATAAAAAACAACAAAACAAAAAAGAAGTAAAAATAAAAACCATCTACTTAAAACCTCACCTGCTTACTATACATACACATACAAGGACAAAGTATAAAACATCAACAGGGACTTATTGAGGCACCAGAATCATATGTGGTCCACCCCCTCCCCTTCACTCTCCTCCATATGTCCTTTCTATGTATTTTTCCTCATTAAGCAAGTATGACATCAATCATTTAAAAACATCTTACTTAAAAAAAGTTGGAAGGATAGGTCTTATCCTTGAGAAGCCTAATCTAGTAGGAAAAGTTTATATAAATGCACAGCAAACTATAATAAAACATAATATCATGAATTGATTTTTTAAAATAACATGAAGGTAATGACTAGGGGCACCAAGGAAAGATTTGCTGGGAAGACATAGTGTGGTTGGGGTGGATTGTAAAGTCTAACACTGGGAAAGGAGCCCAAGAGGGACATGCCAGGTACACAGTGAAGAGCACTGCAAGACACCCTGTGTTTGCAAAACTGGGGGCGGGGGCAGGAGGGAGGGGACGGGGGTCAGGAAGGAGGGAGGCGGAGCAGGAGGGAGGGGGCGGGGGTTGCTCATTCAGTGTTCAACAGTAAGAGTTCATTTATTCACTGCCAAGCACCATATAGAGAGAAGCTCCTGGAGTCAGATTCTGCACTTCAGCTTCCAAACCCATCGCAGGTGGCTGTGAGCTGCCTGATGTGGGTGCCTGGAATTGAACTCTGGTCCTCTGCAAGAGCAGTATAGACTCTTAACCACTGAGCCATCTTTCCAGTTCATCATGTGACCACTAAGTTTTTGAAGCATGGTCAGTGACATGGGAGAAGTGACTATAGTCTATAGTTCTAGAAGGCAATATGCACACTGCAACTCTGGTGTGGAAAGCAGTGGTAGTGTATGAATCTATATACTTGTGCAGTTATACACAAGCATAGGATAGACAAGTAATCCAAAAGGATATACATCAAAATATCAGTAGCCATTTTCCTTTCATACTGTTTGCATTTTTCAAATGTCTATACCGAATGTGTATCATTCTTGCAAACAGAAGACGTCGTTTTAAATTGCATGTATATGCATCAAAGTATACCTGCAACGGCCCCGGCTGGTTCTGCGGCTGTCTTCGCCTTGTCTGTTTAATAAGCTGACAGCAAATCTCATTCTGTAGCTCAGGATGTGTCAGGCAGACCTGCAAAGCACTCTGGGCCAGAGAGATATGGTAGTCGATGGCAGGGGAGTCGACCGCAGCATTTATAAAAAGCTGGCAGGTCTGAATGGAAAAGAATATACTCAAGGTGAGAAATTATCAGGTTTATTTTGCACAAATCATAGCCATTATATCTTTTAGCAGTCTTTTTTGTTTAAAACAATGGGGAAAAAAGTATTATGATAACTCTAATCAAAAGAAATCCAGAGTGGCTACTGTAATAGCCGACCAAGCAGATCTCAGAACAAGAGGATTTTGCCAAAGATAGAGAGGGTCATTTTATAATGGTAAAGGGTCACTTCATTCAGAAGACACAATGATTACACTATGTTCTCTAATTACAGAGCTTAAAAATGCATGTTTGCCTCACACAGGCAGTCATTCATTTTAGCCATCACATTTTCATCTCTGAAGTTCAACTTGGGTCTGTTAAATACTTCCCATTGCCCTCCTTAATCCCATGTTTTCCTTTACCACACAAAGTACATCACCCTATATATTCTTCAAAAGACAGTGAGGCTGGGGGATATAGCTCAACGGCAGACAGCTTATCTTCATCATCATCACCATCATCACCATCACCATCATCAACACAGATTGGATTTTCTTAGAGTCAAACTTTATAACACAAGTGATTACATTCAATTTGATTAAGTGATTTGCCAACAGCTAACAATTTTACCTTAAACAACTTAATGGCCTCAGTCTGCAGAGCTTCCGAAGGCAGTGTGGTCAGAGGGGACAGGATCCCTTCTTTGCTGTGACACAGCGTGGGATGTCTCCATATCTGGGAGGCTGAACACAGAGGAGCTCGTGAGCTGAGGGAGACGATTCACATCCTTGGTTCCCGGTAGCCTGACCCTTTAGAGTTCAGCTCGTGCAGGTCTGGTTCGCTTTCTCCCAAGGGTCATAAAAACAAGACAACAAAAGCAAAAACCCTCCCAGGGATGCTGTTGTATCAAACATCCCCAGGTCCCCTGCAGTTTTCATGTTTCTGTTCTAGAGGAATGCAGGAGTGTGACATCCAAACTGGCTGGGCCGTCACAATTCTACATGGCACTATGTTGCCTATGCACACCAATAGGTATCGACCTGGGTAGCAAGGTCACCTTAACAACAAGGACCTTGGGAGAAAGATCTAGAGAGATCTTGAGAGAAACCAGATACCAAGACAAAGAGGAACAAAAAGTCATCCCTGAAATCGATACTTAGTAAGCTGCTCCCCATGGCTGGGTGTTTAGCTCAGCGCCAGAGCGTGCCCTATCCTATCACAGCTCAAACGTAAATGTGATGCGGTCTCTGTTCATAAAACACACAACCTTTTCTGATGGCTAAGCTTGGCCCTCAGAGGGACAAGGTTTAGAAACATGCCTCTAGGCAGGTCTATGAGACTTTCCCAGATGACTAACAGGGGACGGAGACCCACCCTGAACAGTGGGCTTCACTATCCCACAGGCTGGGGCCCTAGAGTGAAGAAAAAGTGGAAGTAAGTGCTGTAATCGACCACCTCATACTCCTGCCCAAGTGCCTTCCCCCACCACAACCAACTGTACCCCTTAACAGCAGGCCAAATGAACTATTCCTACTTAACTTCCTTAACTGCTCGTCAAGCATTTGATCACAGCAATATGAAAGGTAATAAGACACTATAGTTATAAGATGATTAACATCACTATAAAAGGGTTAAATGCAGAAGCGAATGGGGACTTAATCTCAATTCTGATGGAGCAAGCACTTTAGGAGACTCAGGCTCTGCGCTGGAATGTGCTGGTTGAGGGATGCTCTAAGGCTAACCAGGATTTCATCACGTTAGTGAGAGTTGCCAAGAGCGGGGCACCCCGGCAAAGGGAGCCATGTGAGCAGAGGCAGAGGTGTGTGAGGGCATGAAGGATGCCTATGATTCTGGAGCCTATGAATTCCGACCCATCCATTACAAGCAAAGCCAGCAGGAAAGCGGGCACGCTATAAGAGGAAGCTGCTAAGCCACAACTACACCAGGTCAAGGGGTTGGGGACCCATTTCACGTACTCCAAAGCCTAGGTAGGTGCTTAGGAACTTACAAGGCTCGCCCTCTATATTTAGCAGTTTGCAAACCAGCTGTTCAAATTCGGATCCAACATTTACATTGTTACTTCCAGCAGCAACAGTGAGATGATAAAGCCAGGTGTCCTTGGAAAAGAGAGTATGTTAACAGAGATGTTAGCCAAGATGCCCTTTTCGGCTTTGCCAGAAGGAACAACGTGCAAAAACAGTGAAAAACAAAACAAAACAACCACAAAAACCCCAGACAGAAACCACATTCATTTTTAATTTGTCCTTTTAGTGTCTGTGTGTGTGTGTACAGAGTGCATACATGTGGACGTCAGAGGACAACATGAGGGAGTTTGGTTTTCTTTCTATCCTATGGGTCCAGGGACAGAGCTCAGGTCCCCAAGCTTGCTGGTAAGCCGCTGGGGAGGGCTTATGATCTTGAGCCATGCCTAAGCCATTCTACACATGCTTCTTAGAAAAGCAAGCTAAAATTAAGGCGTCCAATACATGTTGAGAGTCTAGAATAAATATATCTAGCTACCTAAAATTCCTTTAAGATGTATAGTTCTTATATTCTAAGAAAAACAATGAAGTCTATTCAACTTAAAATTTTACTAACAAAGTAATACATACAGAATACTGAAGAAATAAATGAAATACTAATGAAGAAATTCATACCCAATGTTTCAACTTCCTTTTTCCAACTGTAGAAATATATGTGCACACTGGGTTTTTGTTTGTTTATTTTTGGTTTTGGTTTTTCAAGACAGGGTTTCTTTGTGTAGCCCTAGAACTTGCTCTGTAGACGGGTCTGGCATCGAACTCAGAGAGCTGCCTGCTTTTTTCTCCTGAGCACTGGGTTAAAGGTGTGCACCTCCACTGCCTGGCTTGTAGACTGAATTTTTGCATAGTTGGTATTATACTGAAAGTGTTACAGTTTTTGCATTTTACTAATAATGCTCAGCAATAAATTTTCAGAGAGTAGATATTGACCCATGTAACATTTTTTAGTTAAAAAGAGCGTTTGTTATATTTTCTATTTGTTAAAAATACCTCTAAGATAAAATTATTTTAAAAATAATATAGCCAGCTGGGTGGTAGTGGCACATGCCTTTAATCCCAGCACTTAGGAGGCAGAGGCAGGAGGATCTCTGTGAGTTCCAGACCAGCCTGGTCTACAAGAGCTAGTTCCAGGACAGCCTCCAAAGCCACAAAGAAACCCTGCCTCGAAAAACAAAATAAATGAATGAGTGAATAAATAAATAAAAATAATATAGCCGATTAATTTGTGATAATTTTCTCAGTATATATTCCTTGTAAAGAAAATTCTAGGATCAAACCCCAAGCTTTGCACATGCGTGGTGAGCAGTCTATTACCAAGCTGTATCTCCAGCCTCCTTACTGTGCAATCTTTAAACATAACTAGGAGTCATAATGAAGACAGGGACTCTAGGAACAGGCAGGAACCCATCAAGTGGACAATGCAGGAGCTCCCCAGAATGCTCTTGGGCCTTCACGCTCCCTTCAGTATCACGTGAGAACTTTCCCCACCTCAGGCGAACTCAAAAAAGTTGTAAATCTTTGACAATATGAAAATTTGCCACCTTCTCCTTTTTCCATTTCTTCTTCTGGAAGAACCGTCAGTGCTCTTAGCCACTAAGCCATCTCTCCAGGGTCATACTTCTTAAACATAAGGTCCTTTTGTCCCCTACTGTCACCATTAATTTCAATCTCGACACAACATTTGTCAACAGATTGGCATGAGGTTTACTTCCAGAGAGTCTCGTGAAACAGAGATTGAAGGGCTTTTTTTTTCCTCTCCCGGTCCCAAATCTGCTCTTATTTCCATAAAATTGGCTTGAAATCCGCTGTACCCCAAGTGGAAAGCCTGAATCATTTTAGGCCAACCCAAAAGACTTTGACTACCTTCTCGTGCTTGGATCCGATCAGCAGGTATGTCGGGCCTTGGTCCTTGGGGTGGATCACGACGGTGTGGTGAGTGGAGAGCAGACAGCGTCCACTGGCTTCATAATCTTCATCAGAGTCACAGGACCTGTCCACCTCCTCCACCTTAGCCTCCCAGAGCTTGATCTGACCTAGAGGGAACTGAAGCAAAGGCTAGCAGGGGTCAGGAAGGCACGGCACAGCACGCTCAGTCTTTCCGTACTAGAAGCTATCATGGTCCTCTTCCTTTTTACTTTTAAAAGGCACACACACACACACAAAAAAAATGCCTCATTGAAATCTGATTCTCCACTTTGTTACAAACAGAGCCGCAACAAGCAGAAACATTGTGTGAATGTTTCTGGCCCGGTAGGGTCCTTGAGCCCCAAATAAACACACAGATGCTATATTAATTATTAATAACTAGGGCTTCTTATTGGCTAGCTCCGTCTTAATTATTAACCCATAACTACTAATCTATGCATTTCCACGTGGTCTTGACTTACCGGAGAATGCCAGACCTGCAACTCCTTTGACTGCAACACAGTGACTGACCCTGGTAGGCTCTCCTGCCTACCTTTCCCAGAATTCTCCTCCTCTCCTAGTCCCACCTATCTTCCTGCCTGATTGGCCATTGGCCAAACAGCGTTTTATTCACCAGCCAATAAGAGAAACATATCTACAGAAGGACATCACCCATCACCCAACGGTGACACAAGACAAGCATTTGAGGAGAAAAATAACATGGATGGGTGTGTTAGGTTATCCCAACAAATTTGAACAACTGATTCCTTGCTGGAGATATGGTAATACTTCAGCCAAAATACCCAGCAGATTCAGTGTTCCTCACAGAACTGATGAGCAGTTTGGTTAAGCTAGTGGATCAGAGGGTAAAGTGTAGACATGGGCTCCATACTGTTCACAGAAAAAAATAAACAGGTAGCAGATACAAAGGCCATCTCAGATCCCCATGAGCGTCTAATATTCTCAGACTATTTATCCAAGTGTGTAACACATCCCTGGGAAAAACAGCTGCTCTTTCCATTGCAATTTAAGGGTAAGAAAACCTCCCTACAGCTAGCTTTGTTAAAGTTTATTCTTTTACTGACTAACATAAACATGACTTCCATGTTAATCATTTAGTATCTGTTTTTAAATTTTTACATTAGTTAAGGACACTACAGAGCATTCTTTGGGTTTATAGCTTCTAAAGTATTTGGCCAGTTTTGCAATCACAGGGATTATTTTTTTGGAGGGGTAGGGTAGGGATAAGTGTTGAGGCAATGCCTCGTTATGTATCTAGGCACTGAAGTCAACCCCCTGCATCAGCTTCCTGGGTATTGGGATCATAGGCATGCTGCAATTCTTTGAAAAAGCCCATTCTAACCACAAACATGTGCTATCATCCATTTTTACGATGCATTCCAGGGCTCCACGCTTGGATTCTTTGTCCTGACCACCTACACACACGATGATGATTTCATCCAAGCTCATGGCTCTATTCCCAGCAGATGTTAGCAACTCCCAAATACCTAACTCCCGACTCATGGTCTGGGCTCGGGTGTCTAAGGGTGTCTCAAACTCCCTTCAACACATCCACCTCAACCACCTGCTCCTCCCAGACTTCCCCCACCGCACTCGGTGACTTCATCCTTCCAAAACTCGGTGCCAAAAACACTGACAGCATCCGCTGACCCCTTTCTTTCCTTGACATAAATTCTGTCGACAAGACTTTCAAAATGTATGGTCTCTTCTGAGAGTGCCCCCCACTAACCACAGCTGTCCCTGCACTGGATTAGTCTAACCGTCTCCTAATTAGAGTCTTCCTCGTTTCCTTCAGCCTGTTCCTAAATAGAAGCCTCATGTCTCTCCAGTGCGTCTTGACTCACTCGGAGTAAAAGCTGGAGGTGGCAGGACATTTCTTTGGCCTAAAGATTACTTTGAACTATAGCTATTTTCAAAATCAAACAAAAACACAGGTGCAAGGGTACACTCTGACTCCCCCACCTCCTTTTTTTTTTTTTTCTTTCAAGGCAGGAGGTTAAACTCTCATATGGAAGATGCTCTTGGTAACAGGCTTGAAAACAACATTCTGAGCATCAAGACAGGAAGCTTACACAGAAGCTCTGGGTAAGCCCCACCTACCCTGCCAGGCACTTTTCCACCCGGTTAGCTACAACTGTCCATCCCTGTTTTCCCAAGTTACTGCTGCTTGTTCAGATTCACAGTGTCTTCGTTTCCCGACAAAACCTCGTGTGTCCCGTACAACCTACACAGTAAGCTTGTATACTTTTCTCCTACGATCTGTCCCATGTTAGATTAGTTCTGAGGCCTACTGAAAACCCTGGCAGCACAGAGGCAAAGTTTTGTCTCCCTTAAAAAGCCAGCATTTTTCTTTGGCTTGCTAGGACCTGTGTGGTACAGCCTCTGTCACACCCCTCACCTGACTTCCCACTACTCTTTTCCTAAGGGGTTCCAGTCCAGTCGCATTGTCTCCACGCTTACTAAACACAGCAGGCATGCTCCTGCCTCAGGGCCTTTGCATTTGGTACTCCTTCTGCCCCCCGGAATATTGTCACAAATATTCACATCGTTGCACTTTGACTTAGGATCCAATGAAAACACGAGATCTTATTGGGATATTGTATAGAAAACAAAATAACATCTACCCGGTAGCTGATTAACAGAAAAGATGACTACATTAAACATATTATCTTCCACGTGGAATGTATTTTTGATACCTTTCAAAAATTACTTGTATTTCGTGTGTGTGTGTGTGTGTGTGTGTGTGTGTGTGTGTGTCTTGCCAGTGGGTGCCAGAAGAGGGTGTCAGATTCCCTGAGAGTTACAGGGAGTTATGAGCGTCTCCATGTGGGTGCTGGGAACCAAGCCCTCTTAGAAGAACATCCAGTGCTCTTGAACTGCTTTGCTAGCTCTTCAGAGTGATTGTTTACTCATTAAATGGATAATAAATTTACACTGAGCAGTTGCTATACTGAGAACTAAATAAAAACTTTTACTTCTAAAAGAAGAATGTAGGTGGGGTCATGGGAGGAGGGGAGGGAGAGGGAACTGGGATTGATATGTAAAATAAGATTGTTTCTAAATTCAATAAATAAATAAAGAGAAGAAAAATGTAAACTTATCTAGTCTTTTGGAAAAAAGAAAACTAGGGAAAAAAAGCAAAATAATAGGGCAAAAGGTCACATTGATAATAAAAAGTAGGTTTTTTAAAAATGTGAAGAAATGAATCTACTGTAAGACAGAACAGTGCTCTCCTTCAGGCACAACAAGCCCAAGAATTTCTAGTTCCTTAGCTTCTCTGAAGATAAACTGTCTTATCGAACCTTCCTAAAGATTCCCCCAGGGTGTCATGTGTGTCCCCAATTTCATATCAAAAGTTCATTTTCCTTTTTTTTGTTGTTGTTGTTGTGTTTTTTTGAGACAGGGTTTTCTCTGTGTAACAGCTCTGGTTGTCCTGGAAATTTCTGTAGACCAGGCTGGCCTCTGCCTTCCAGGTGCTGGGATTAAAGGCGTGTGCTAATGTCCTTTTTTTCTGACAATTCGCAGGGAATGTTGAACGTTGCTTCACGCTGTGCTTAGACTTAAAGCTTCAGGTGGCACTGCTGTACAAGCAGTTCCCTCACGCCTCCAAATGCATCCTTTCCAACGGCTGCACTGTCAACCCCATCCCACCAGCAACGCAGGGAGCAACGGCCTGTATGTTAAGTACCGCTGATAGATCTGAAACTCGGCCTGTAAAAAGGGACCAGGGAAATAACTGACCCACACAATCACTGGACCACAGGCTGCTGCTGCGTGGAGCTCATACCATCATTTACACAAGTGCTCCAGGCCCACATTGATAGCTAAATTCGTGTAGTCCCAGTGACACTAATAAGGCAGTGCTGAGTGCCCACAGTGACTTGCGGCTGTTTCACCTTCCACAGACGGCCCCTCTTTCTACTGTCAGAGTGAAGATCGATCAAGTTCCTGGAGCGAGGGAGGACAATAGTTTAGAAGTGCAGACAGGACATACAGGGGTGAACCATGGCATCCAGGCATCTGAGGAAGCGACAGCCCGGATTCCGTGTCCTCCCTTGGCCATCCTTCCTAGCTGTTCACCCCTCCTAGCCTTACTTAATCTGTCAGAACACTGGGAAGCGTGGCAAAGTGAAGGATGCGAGGGAATAAGAGAAGGCTTTGGCCTTCCAGTTCTTTCAAAGTGCAGTGGGTAAAAGTCACTAAGTGAAATTTACAATCAAGGCCCAAGTGGGTTATTACCCCAGTAATAAATATAATAGCAACTTACCAAAAATTCTAGAGTCTTGCCTAGCAACAGAAAAGTCAAAAGGGAAAGCTTTTAAAGCAAGCACAGGTAAAGTTCGTCCTCTCATTTGGCTGTTAATGTGCATACATACCTTATCCTCTTGACTGCGAAAATAATACAAGGTCTTCCCAACAAGCGTGCACCAGACTCTCTTAGAGTAGCCGTGTTTTACCTGGAATTGTATTTCAGTGAATTAAAATGTAGGTCAGAAGTCTGGGAAATTGCAGTATAGTTTATACATTCACTGGTAAGCTCTACAGGTGACCAGGGTGACAGCGACTGACAGCAATCACACAGCCCAGCGCGCCAGGACATTTCCCAAGAGTTTGCTGTGTGTCACATACGATGCTCCCGGCTAGGACAGATGTTCCCAACCTGTGGGTCATGACCCCTTTGGGGGGGTCAAATGACCCTTTCATTAGCAGTCACCTAAGACCATGACAACAGATATTTATATTACAATTTATAACAGTAGCAAAATTACAGTTATGAAGTAGCAACAAAGATAACTTTATAGCTGGAGGTCACCATAACATGAGGGTCACAGCACTAGGAAAACTGAAAACCTTCTTGTACTAGGACTAGGATTAGGAGCCAACTTCACAATTAAGTTTATTTTGTAGTTTCCTTACTTCAAAGATTTCCAATAACCCGGTGGCTCTCTGGGTTAGTATTTTAATGTTCAAACAAAGACGTTACTAAAAACCCGAGGAATCCCAGTGATTTCCGGAGTAAAAAGAAACATTTGTTGCTTTCTCTAGAAGGAACCATACAGAATGACACAATGCCATCAAAGGCTGTCACTATGTTGAGGCTGAGACCGGCTCCCCTCAGGCCCAGGGTAAGTGACAGACAGATCTGAGTCTAGCCCTTGTCTGTGTAGAGTCGGAGGTTAGACAGGCTTTGCTGAGGGCACTGTCACCTGTCTAGGTGAATATTGTAACAGTGTCAATCTTGGTGGCTTTTTAACTCCGGACTGGGAGTTCCATACCAGACAGACATCCTCCATTCTACAAGAACATGAAGAAACCCATTCCCGAGGATGGGCAAGCCTAAGAAAAAGCCCTATTAGCCCCATTATGGAATGAATACTCTGTGCTTCTCTGAGCCTGCATTGCAATTCCACTCCAGTCAATCTGGCAATGGCAACACATGTTTTCACACTCTGGAATCATCAGCAAAGTGGCTTCCCCGGTTATCCTGTCACAACACAGAGATATTGTATACCTCCCTGGGCTACCATTTGACCAGATGAGACAATCCACAAATCAATAATCACAGTAGTTGCAATAAATGATTCCTTCCTCCTATATCCATTGTCAAACACATGGCCTTTGTTTTGCTGTTTTGTTTTTCAAGACAGAATGTCTCTGTGTAGCCTTGGCTGTCCTGGAACTCAGAGATTCACCTGCCTCTACTCCCAAGCGCTGGTGGGATTAAAGGCATGCACCACTACTGCCCAGCCACATGGCCTCTTTTAAATCCATGAAGCCAGCTAGTCTTTTGGCTTCCAAAGCTATGGTTTGGAATAACTCTACCCCTAATTTTTTTTATGGATTTAGAATACTCTTTTAAGATAACAACAACAGCAACAAAAAGTTTTATTTGGCAAGGCACAGCTCAGTTAAATTAAAATTGGAAACATATATTTACAGAGGAATATCCTGGGCTTTTCAACAGAGCCCTACAGGGCTGTCTCCTCTTTCTTTAAATAGCTCTGAGAGAAGTTTCCTCAAAACCAGAGTATAATCCATGTATTTTGGAAATGATTTATTTTTAAAATGGAACAATGGCTGCATCTAAACCAAAATGAAGTGGGAAGCTTTACCAACTCCCGTAGAAGCTGTGCTTTAAAAATAAAACGCAGCCCATCTTCTACATACATTTTACATTAGGGTTTCTTAACTCTGGGTCTGAAAACTTTTTTTTTCAAGACAAGGGTTTCTCTGCGTAACATCTCTGGCTGTCCTGGAACTCTCTTTGTAGACTAGACTGACCTCATAGAGATCTGCTTGTCTGTACCTCCCAAGTGCTGGGATTACAGGCATGCACCACCACCTCTTGGCCTCTGAAAACATTTTAACATAGCATATTATACTAGACAAATCCTTACAGAGATGTAAAGATAATCTCAAAGGCTTGGCAAACCAAATCATCTAAAAACTAACCTTTGACCCTGCCTTGGTAACAGAAGTCTTCCATACCAATGGTGTTAAAAGTGGGGAACAAACGACAGATTTTACTCAACGCCTTTGTCAGCACACACAGCACAAGCTCCCCTGCTCCCCTGGTCTCTTCTCTCCCCTTGTCACCTCGTCCCTGTAGTGTCACCAACCTTGCTGGCTTCAGTACCTACAAGGCACTCCCGTGACAATACCTACATTTAAAGTGTTTGCTGTGCCAGGTACTGTCTGAACACACTTGACATGATGAAATGAAATACATTTCACGGTTTTAACGCCCTCGGGGGTTGTCACTATGATTATCTGCCATTTCACAGATGAGGACGTGGTCTGTGAGTAACTTATCCTAGGTCACACGGCTGGCGTGTTTCAGAGCCAGCACTCATGACTAGGCAGTGGGGCTCACCGGCCTTCCCCTCCTGCCTCTGAACTATCCCCTCAGCCGTGCTCTTTCCATCTCCAATAAACTTTGCACTTTTTCACGTTTCCTTGTCCCACACCTAGCTCTTTTTTCCTGCACTGGAAATGCACTCACTTCTGTAATTTACACTCTGTACTGGTCCTGGCCCTCTCACGCCATTGCTATTCTTTGACCCGCTTCCTGCTTCAAATACCCTGATCCAACCATCTCCTAATTCTTGCCAAGCCTGTCTTCCTTCTCCGCCAACCTGGGATCCCGTGTTTGATCATAACACAATTCTTGCTCCAGGGCCCATGAACACATCACATTCCTATGCTCCTAACAAATCCATTGAACAAGGTTTCACCTCCACTTGCCTTTAAATAGCCCAATGGAGGATGTGAGACGAGAGAAAGCAATCGCAGATGGGCATTCGGAGATGGTATTAGTCATAGTTAACAACTGCTGAGACTGGATGGTGAATCTGTGAAGGGACATTATTATATCCTTTACTTTAGGATATTTACATTTTTATAATAAAGCACACACTTCAAACCATCGCCCTGATAGGCATGAAGCAAAACCATTTTTTAATTTTGCGACTGTTGTGAATCATAATGTAGTTATCTGTGTTTTCCGATGGTCTTGGACGACCCCTGTGAAAGGGTCATTCACTGCCCCCCTTCTGATAAGAGGTAAGCTCTGGGCTACTGCTCTAGTGCTGTGCCTGCTTGCCCGACTAACCTCTCTGAAACTATAAGCAAGCCCTGGTTAAGTGCCTTATGTTATAAGTTGTCTTGGTTGATGCTGTTTTGACACAGCAACAGAAATGTAACTAAGATACCCCCTGACTTCCACATGATAGCAGTGACTAAATTCACACACACATACAATAAATAAACAAAATGCTGGCAGTGGGAATCACATATATGTTATATGAGTAGAAGCCTGCATTACCATCCTGATAAAATACCCGGCAAGCGACCAAATAGAAACTCACCATGGTAGAAAACAAACTGTTAGCCCTGACCTTCTATCAAGCTCAAGAGTTTACTACACAAGCTCTCTGAAATAAGAGAAAGCTCATGGTTATGAACTATAGAGCAAATGGGGATTAGCTTAGCACTGTAGTCATTTTTTAAAGTATATTTTCCACAGTGCCGGGAAGTTGCCGATAAATAAGCAAATGTTAGACTGGTAATGGAGCATTTTAGCAAACAAAAAAAATAATTAGGACTGAGATGACTCATTCAGTAAAGAGTTTGCCACAGCAAGCACGAGGACCCAAGTTCAACCACTAGAACCCATGAGAAGACCAGGAGAGGCATGTTTGCCTGAAATCCCAATGCTGGAGGTGTAGAGACAGGAAGACTCCCCAAAGCTTGGTGGTCAACCAGTCCAGCAAAATGTCACCTCCAGTCTCAGTGAGAGAAAAGAACTCAAGGAATAGATGGGTAGATAGATAGATGATAAATAGATGACAGATAAATAATTGATAGATGCTAGGTAGATGATAGGAGATAGATTAGATAGACAGACAGACAGACAGACAGGGTGGAGAGCAGTTGAGGAAGACCCCTGACATGAACTTGAAACACACACACACACACACACACACACACACACACACACACACAAGAACTTGAAACACACACACACACAGAGACAGAGAGACAGAGAGAGAGAGAGAAAGACAGAGAGAGAGAGAGAGAGAGAGAGAGAGAGAGAGAGAGAGAGAGAGAGAGAGAGAGAGAGAGAGAGAGAGAGAGAGAGAGAACATCTCTGTGGAATACACTGTGAATTCTTTCTTACTTTTGGTGCTCAGTAAGTCAGATTTTGTAAATATTACTGAATGCTGCCTGCCACATCCCCAAGTTATCATTAAACATAAATGATAGCACAGTACATATCCCACCTGCAAAATTTTCACCTCTTAAACAGAACACAAGCTCATCACTATGGATGTATATATATTCTACTGTGTCATCTCAAAAGTGACCAACGGGATGTTTTAAACATTTGAAACAGTAAGTGGCTCTGTCCTTTATAACTCCCCCGTGGAGGAGTTAACACTGCTAAACTCTAGTAATGTGCTTTGGTTCACTCCAAGCCAGTGATGTCACTCTTCTGTACACTTTTGTCAAACCATCTGACCTTAATGAACATAGTAAACCCACTGACTGGACTAGCATTCTATTATTGTCCAGACAGTATACGGAATTGCTATTGAGCAGGGTATGGTGGTACTTGTCTTTAATTCCAGCAATCAGGCAGCAGAGACAGGCAGATCTCTGAGTTCAGTTACACAGAGAAACCCTGTCTTGAAAAGTGCTCCCCCAAAAGTTCTGTATCTCAATAGTCACAGTAAATGTATTTCACAAGTCACTCTGTTCTTGACTTGTGAATTTCAGAGTACATCAATTATTCCTCGTTTTAATCTTCACATTAGAGGAGAAAACAAAACATGCTGTGGTGAGCATCCCTATATTTAAATTTAGTGTAAATTCAGACCACTTCCAAAGGATAAATTCTCTGAACAGAGAGGACTGAATGAAATGGAACGTTTCTTAAATGTTGTATACTCATTTTCAAATTACATTTATTTACTTGGATTGATAAATAAATAAATTGCATTTTTTGATGCATGGGTGGAGGTCGGAGGACAAATTGTGGGAGTCAGTTCTTTCTGTCTACCATGTGGATACCAGAGACTGAACTGAAGTCGCTAGGCTTGGTGACAAGTGCCTTTGTGTGCTGAGCCATCATGTCATCTCTGCCTCTGAATGGTGTGCTTTTAAATGGTGTGACATTTGGGCTGGGGAGGCATGCTTAGTCAGCAAAGTGCCTGCTATGCAGATATGAGGACCTGAGTTCAAACCCCAGCACCCACAGAAAGAAACAGGAACAGTGGTGTGAGTTTAATCCCTGCTTTGCAGAGGAGGATCTCTCAAGGCTCAGGCCAGACAGCCTAGTAAATCTCTGTCTCGAAGAACAAGTGGAGGGCTGGTGACATGGTAAAGGCACTTGTCACCAAGCCTAGTGATCCATATTTAATGCCAGCGCCCACATGATAGAAGGAGAGAACTATCTCCCACAAGTAAGTACTTAGTGGTGTAGGAGTATATGATGGTACATTGTTAGGTGGCACACACACACACAACTGGAGTGGCATGTTCCCTCTGACACACACATGCAAGTACACACAATATAAATAAATGTAAAAGTAAAAAAAAAAAGATAAAACAAGATGGATGGCTCCTGAGAATCAACACTGAGCTTGATCTCTGTCTTCCACACACATGCACACACACGCACACACACACACGCACATACACACACACACACGCACGCACACGCACACACACACACACAGAGTTGATATTCACCCATCTGCTCATCCAAAACTACTGAGTTAACATTTGAACTGGGTCATTGGTAAATTGTCTTCCAGAGTGACACTCTAGCAAACTGACGTGCATTTCAATAAAAAGTCTTACTTTTAAACGGATTTAAAAAATGATGTTCATTATGTCAAATTTGTGCATTAAAAATCTTAGAGATAGCAAGCTGGTTTCTGCTATACTTGCTGATCTTTTCTGTTTCTTCTTAGCTCTACCATATCAACTCCTCTTCTATGTGTCCTTCAGGATTTTAGCATCCATGCTTTAAAATAGGCTTGTTAAATACTTTTTTACTCCATTATTTATTTAACGTGTGTGTGTGTGTGTGTGTGTGTGGTGTGTGTGTGTATGGTGTGTGTGTATGTATGTGTGTGCCTGTGTGTGCATGTGTGTGCATGTGTGTGGTGTGTGTGGTGTATGTGTGTGCATGTGTGTGTGGTGTGTGTGTATGTATGTGTGTTTATGTGTGTGTGTGTATGTATGTGTGTTTATGTGTGTTTATGTGTGTTTATGTGTGTGCATGTGTGTGCATGTGTGTGGTGTGTGTGGTGTATGTGTGTGCATGTGTGTGTGGTGTGTGTGTATGTATGTGTGTTTATGTGTGTGTGTATGTATGTGTGTTTATGTGTGTGCATGTGCGTGGTGTGTGTGTATGTATGTGTGTTTATGTGTGTGCATGTGTGTGGTGTGTGTGTATGTGTGTATGGTGTGTGTGTGGTGTGTGTGTGTGGTATGTGTGGTGTGTGTGTATGTATGTGTTTTTATGTGTGTGCATGTGTGTAGTGTGTGTGTATGTATGTGTGTATGGTGTGTGTGTGTGTGTGTATGGTGTGTGTGTGGTGTGTGTGTATGTGTGTGCATGTGTGTGGTGTGTGTGCGTATGGTGTGTGTGTGTATGTGTTTCTGTGTGTGTGTGTATGCCACAGCATATGTATGGAGGTCAGAGATACTGGTGGGAGCCAGTTCTCTCCCACTGTGTGGGACCTAGGGATCAGACTCTCAGCCATCAGACTTGGCAGCAAGCACTTTATCTGTTGAGTCACCTTAACAGCCCAAGCTTATTACATATTAAAGATATTAACTGGGTCTCACACTTTTAATGGCATTTTCAAATTTTTTCATTTATATTTTGCATGTGGCCAACTATATCTTCTTTTCATCTCTATGATTCCCCACTCCCCAGTAATTTTACTTAAACCCACCGTTCCCACCCCAACACAAAATTTTTTTTTATTTTAAATAGCTTGTTTTACATGTCAATCCCAATTCCCTCTCCCTCCCCTCCTCCCGCACTCCCCTTCCCCCCCACCCTCTCACCCTATTGCCAAATTCTTCCACATAGGGGATATCAGAGTCTGTCATTTTACTTTGGGTAGGGTCCAGGCACCAACACAAAATATTAAATGCATATTATTGTCTGGACCCAACTATTCATGTTGCATGGAGCTTACCAAAGCAGCTGCCTAGGATGTTGCTGTGTATACATGAGCCTTACCTTGGTGAGCAATCCCTTGACTGTTGGTTTGCCCTCAGGCTGCAGGCAAAGGGGATTAGCAGCTTGTACTCGCAGAACGTTCTGTAACACTTTAATCCACTCTTCCAATATATTGGGAGAATCTGCGGTCAGGTAGTATGTGTGCTTCTCCGTGGTCAGCTAGAACGGGATAAGGGACAACGGGAGAGGCACTGATGATGACTTAGTCCTTGTCCAGTCAACCATCATTACTGACAGGAAAGCAAGCACAGTACACCTCCAGTCCCTGGTTCTAAGGAAATGCAGAATTCTTTAGCCACTGTGTGAGAATGACCACCACTGAGTTAAAATCATTTACACGTGGGTCTGACACTGTTCACACTACTAAATCTAGGGTCGTGGTTTTATATCTTTAATCGTCACACTTTCCTTTTCTCCCCAGTGTGCTAAATTCCTGGCTGTTGAACAGTAAGACTGGAGATGATGATAAACAAACACATAGTTATCAGTGCAAGAGGGGATTTTCATGGATAGATAGAAGAAAACCACGAACCATAAACAAATGAGACCTTCCACCCAATTCCTGGTGCTACACGTGACCAGTTACTAAGAACTCACAATATTCCAGTCTCAAATGAACAGTGTTGCCAATTTCCCAAATATTTCAGGACTTTACAATCAATTCTTGGGAGTCCAACATCGGAGCTTTTCCCGATTCATCCATTATAACCTCGGACATCCCCAGTCTACAGGGGATCAGCCGTGAACCGTTCTAGCAAATGTTTTCTACCCTCCACGGGGACAAGATAAAAAAAAAACGGTTACTGAAACCTCTTAGAAGCAAAGTGTCTGAATTTAGACATATCAGACTATCTCAAGAGCATGAGCAGGTTTGTGTGGGAGTAACTTGGGCATCAGCCACTTCTATAGTACTTGGCAGTACAGTGCCTCTGGCCACCGATAGATTTCCCTTTTTGAAGTTCATGGGAGAACTGTTACTGTCCAACTCTATGCTGAAATACAAACATTCTTGAATTTAATGGTATGTTGGTAGAGCCATTCCCTGGGAAGCCAGCAGTGGGTGGGCCTAGCCAGAGTCCATCTTCCTGGCCAGCATTTGATTCAAAACTTGCTTCAAATTTGGCTTTAAAAATTATGTTACAAACATCTCAGAAATTAATTTACTGGCTAACCCTCTCCTAAAAGAGCTTGATATTTTGAGAGCTGAAAATACCCAGGAGATTAACCACGGAAGAACATGGGAAGAAAAGGTATAGGTCATAGTGCAGTACTCGTACTTAGCTCATAGTACAGTTTTAACTAAAAAGTTTATATACCTTTGAGCATCAAACTGATTCTAAAATGAATAAAAAGGCATCGAGCAATCCCATCTCAGTGGAGAACTGCTTTTTTCATGGTACCAAAAGGATAATAAATTCAAAAGACCCGCACCTGGACTGTTTGCTTGTTATCTCCCCTTAAAATACTGCAGGATGCGTTAAGTTCAATGTGGCCCTGGGGTTTCCGAATTACATCGCTCTGCATAGAGGGAGGGAAAGCAAACATAAATTAGAGATAGCAATAATTACAGGAAATGTTTTGTCTCGTTAATGCAGTTAAATTTTTAACCTTATTTTTATTTTATGTGTATGGATATTTTGCTTGCATGCGTGTCTGTGCATTGTGTGTGTGCAGTGCCTGTGCCAGCCAGAAGGGGCCGCCAGATCCCCCTGGAACAGTAATTACAGATGGTCGTGAGCCTGCCATGTGGGAGCTGGGAACGGAACCAGGATGCTCTTCTTCAAGAACAGCCAGCGCTGAGATCTCTCTCTCCCGGCCCCTTAATGAATTTTGTGTTACCGGGAAGGAAATCACTGGGAGTCTGCTGGGAGGAATTCAGGTCTCAACGGCCACTGCCCACTCACGGGAGACTTGTAGTAAAGCAGTTCACCGCCTTTCAGGACAAACCACCTCCGCTTCCACGTCTTGACTTTTCCGCTCATTTTCAGGAGATAACCAGATTTCTCTAACTGTTCCTAACGAAAAGAAGACATTTGAAAATGACGTTTTGTTCCGTTTGGGGAGTCAAACTAACAGATTCATTAAAGTTAAGAAGTCTGATTAAATGTTTACATTTTTCCCATTTTCACTGGAGGACGAGCAGGTTTTAGGGAGTTTCTGCTCTGGCTGCAAACACTCCGAATCTGCACAATAGGCATCAGGTGGGATGGCATAATCACTTTCAGAAGCCATGGAGGAGACAGACACGCCTAGGAAAACAAAGATATAAATCCAGTAAGTATTTCATCCTGGCATGGGCCAACAGCAGCTGTGAGTTCTCCTGCGCATGACAACTAACTCCCTACATCATAAACCACCCTTTACAAGATTTATTCCTATTCCTCTGACCATGGAGAACTTTTAATGCAGGAAATAGAACTAAGGGGTTGGAACTGCCACACAAATTTTCAAGAAAGTCAACAGAACATGAATAATATTTTGATATGATTGGAACTATGAGTGTTCTCACACATACAAATCATTTTGCAAGTCTACAAGTACAGTAAAGATTTAAATTATGTGTATTTATATATTGATACATAGACAAACAAATGCTGAACCTCAGTAGTATTTTATGCAAGTCCAATATACTACTAACCAGTTTACTGGCTTTAAAAATCCTTCATGAGTTCAGTGGTAAAGAACACTGGTTGCTCTTCCATGGGACATGGGTTCAATTCCCAGCACCCACATGGCAGTTCACAATTGTCTGTAACTCCAGTTCCAGAAAATCTGACATCTTCACACCAACGCACATAAAATAAAGTTAAATAAATTATTTTTTAAATCCTTCATGAGGTGTGTAGTGGGCCCGCCCAGCAGGATGGACCACCTGGAGTCTGGCCACACGTCAGTCTTGGCCCCCCTCTGCCCTTCACCCTCCACATGAGCCTTGACCCTCCTACATCCTCTGCTTGAGTGAGGAGAACACTAGGAGAGGCTGGACCATGCAGAATTACCGACATTGAAGTCTTGGCTCACCTACACCCACGGGGAGATGAGAGGAGAAGGAGAGACCCCACCTGCACCCACTCGAAGATGGAATGGGAAGACCACAGTATAACAGAAAGACCAATATGACACCACCAGAATATAGGGACTCTACACCAGAAAAACCTGAACATCCATCCTAACACAATGAAGCAGAAGAGAAGGACCTCAAAAGCAACTTTATGAAGATGATCCAAACCCTCAATGAGGAAATGAGAAAATCCCTTAAAGAAATGGGGGAAAAGACAAACGAAAAAAATTCAAGAAATAAATATCTTAAAGAATGTAAAGAAAGCCAAGAAAAAACAACCAAACAAGTGATGAAATAGAAACAATAAAGGAAAACACAGAATGAGGGAATGCTGGAAATAGAAAAGCTGGGTAAATGATCAGAAACTACAGATGTAAGTATAACCAATAGAATATAAGAGATAGAAGAGAGAATCTCAGGTGTTGAAGACTCACTAGAGGAAATATAGTCATCAACTAAAGAAAATCTCAAGTCCAACAAATCCTTAACACAAAATATCCAGGAAATACGGGACACTATGAAAAGGCCAAAACTAATAATAATAGGTAATAGGCATAGAAGAAGGTGAAGAAATACAGATCAAGGGTACAGAAAACATATTCAACAAAATCATAGAAGAAAACTTCCCCAGCCTAAAGAAGGATATACCTATTAAAGTACAAGAAGCTTACAGAACACCAAATAGACTGGACCACAAAAAGAAGTCCCCTTACCACATAACAATCAAACCACAAAACTTACAGAATAAAGAAAAATATTAAGAGCAGCAAAGGAAAAAAGCCAAGTAACATATAAATGCAGACCTATTAGAATTACACCTGACTTCTCAATGGAATCTCTGAAAGTCAGAAGGTCCTAGATAGATGATCTACAAATGCTAAGGGAATATGGATGCCAGCCCAGACTACTATACCCAGCAAAGCTTTCAATCACTATAGACGGAGAAAACAAGGTATTCCACGACAAAACCAGATTTAAACAATACATACCCACAAATCCAGCCCTTTGAAAGGAAAGTTTTGAAAGGAAAATTCCAACCCAAGGAAGATAACTACACTCACAAAAACATAGGCAATAGATCATCCCACTTTACCAAATACCAAAAAAAGGGGGGGGTTATCCATACACAATACCACCACTACCACCAAATCCAAAACAAACAAGAATTAACAATCAATGGCCATTAATATCCCTCAATGTCAATGCACATTCATACAACAAGGGGCATATGTTCAACTATGTTCATAGCAGCATTGTTTGTAATAGCCAGAACCTGGAAGCAACCTAGATGTTCCTCAATCGAAGAATGAATGGAGAAAATGTGGTACATTTACATAATGGAGTATTACTCAGCGGGAAAAAACAATGAAATCTTGAAATGTGCTGGCAAATGGATAGAACTGGAAGAAACCATCCTGAGTGAGGTAACCCAGTCACAAAAAGACAAGCATGGTATGTACTCACTCATATATGGATATTAGACACAGAGCAAAGGACTACCAGACTACAATCCATACCACCAAAGAAACTAGGAAACAAGGAGGCCACGAAGAGGGAAACACATGGTCCCCCGAAGAGGGGGAAAGGGACAAGAACCCCTGAGCAAATTGGGAGCACTATGGGGGAAGGGGAGGGAGGTAGGAAAAAGGAGGGGGGAGGAAAACAAGATGTATCAGGAAGACTGAGACAGGGGAGGAATAGAGGAGAGTAATCAGAGAGATACCTTAATAGAGGGAGCCAGTAGGTTTAAAGAGAAATCTGGCACTAGGGAAATGTTCAGAGAAACACAAGGATGACCCCAACTAAGAATCTAGGCAGGAGTGGAGAGGCTGCCTTTGATGTCCTTCCCCTATAATGAGATTAATGACTACCTTAATTGCCATCCTAGAGCCTTCATCCAGTAGCTGATAGAAACAGAAGCCGGCACCCACAGCTAAGCACTGAGACATACTCCTGGAATCCAGTTGTAGAGAGGGAGGAGGGATGAGCAAACGAGCCAAGACTGTGCTGGAGAAACCTACCGAAACAGCTGATCTGACCTAGTGAGAGCACAGGGACCCTAGTCTGACATCTGGGGAACCAACACTGGACTGAACCAAGCCCTCTGAATGTGGGTGCCATCTAGGAGGCCTGGGCAATCTATGGGACCTCTAAGAGTGGAACCATTGTTTATCCCTAGTGCACAAATGTTTGAGAGCCCATTCACTATGGAGGGATATTATTGCAGCCCAGATACATGAAAAAGGGCCTATGTCCTCCCCCAAATGATGTGACAGACTTTGATGATCCCCCATGGAAGGCCTCACTATCCTTGGGGAGGGGGTAGGGGTGGGTTGGGGAGGTCAGTGGGAACATGGGAGGATGGGAGAGCAAGGGAATGGGGGTATTGATATGTAAAATAAGATTGCTTCTAAAATAAAAAAGAAAGTATTTCTGAAGAAAAAAATCCTTCATGAAAGATAAGCAATAAGGATTAAAGATGCCAGTTGTTGGTGGATCACATCTTTAATCCGAGGACTAGGGAAGCAGAGATAGGCGATCTCTATGAGTTCCAGACCAGCCTAGTCTACAAAGGATGTTCCAGGATGGCCAGGACTGCTACACAGAGAAATCCTGTCTCAATAAACAAACAAACAAGAAAAAAACCCAGAAAAACAAAAACCAAACAAAAATGAAAAACAAGCAAACAAACAAACAAAAAGACTTAAAGACACTCAACTATGAAGTAAAATTCAATGGAACAGTTCCACAATAATTAAGTTGACTTTTTAGAGAGTGTCTTGTAAGTTAAAAGCCATAAATGGATGATAACTACAACTGGATATTTATAAACACAGTAAGTGAAACCAATAATGTAGGCTATTATACATTTAAAAAAAACTTTTGCTAAAGTGGCAACAATGCCACTCCTATAATTCTAGCCATTACTTACCTGTCCTGACACATAACAATTGTATGACACAGACACCAGACATTAGGAACCTCAGAAATCACCCTGGCAAATGTCCTCACTGTGTAAGGAGTGAAAGACGCAGAGTCAAATAACTAGGCAGGGGTGATTCTAGAGGGCAAAGCTCATATCCCAAGCCTCAGGTGAATGTGCCAAACCCTGTCTGAGGTGCTTGGGCTACGACGTACAACACAAGACACATTTGAGATCTCTCGGGGCAGAGTGAAGGGCAACAGATGCCCAGCGGGTAGTAAGTGCAACAAAAAATAAGGACGGGGCAGACTAAAGCACATAGAAGATCTGGCAAGGGAAGGAGGGCTAGGATCTGAGCAGCGTGGTCAGGACGGATCTTGCTGTGGAAGCAATGTCTGAACGCACGACGGAGGAGGCGGGGGCTCGGCTACACGAGCGTGGGGGGCTGAGCACGGCAGTGCCTTCCACTCAGGAAGTGAACACAGGAAGGCGGGCAGTAGAAGGCCAGTTTGGGCTACAGAGCAAGTTCAAGGTTAGTCTTGGCTACAAGAGACCCTGACTCAAAACAAAATAGGTTTCAGGTTTGTTTCTTCTTCTTCTTTTTCTAATCTGTAAACAAGAGGCCAGCCTTGTTTAAAGGAAGAGAAAGGAGGAGATGAGATTAAAGACTCACAGGAGTAGCCTGACAACTATTATAAAGAACACCAGCAGCTGCATTTGCTGGAAAAAAAAAGTCACATCGCTGTTTGGCCACAGAGAACCAAGTTAGAGCAAGGAAACTGAGGGAAGCCCATGCAATTAGTGGCTCCAGCTGAAGCCCGGGGCTTTGAAGACCACGGTGGTTCCATGCAACACCGTTTGAAAATCGACACACCTACAAGGCCACGTAGACTTTCTTAACATATAGGTACCACTTTGTGGGATCAGACCCCTCCGTAACCTCTGCCTGCGCACACAACTTACGAAAAGCTGGGTTGGGGCGTTGGCTCAACAGATCAAGCTCTTGCACACCTAAATATGAAGACCTGAGTTCAGATCACCTAAATCCACACCAAAGCAGGCACAGAAGTGAGCGTCTGTCGTGGCAGCACAAGATGAGAGACGGAGACAGCAGGATTCCCTGGAAGTCTGTGGACCAGCTAGCTGGTGTCTAAAACCTGAACAGGATACATCGCCTCAAAGTGGGGAGCAACACCGGGGCTGCCTTCGGAGCTTCACATGTGTGTGGTGAACACATATGCACACATACATGTTCTAAAATTTTATTGGAAGCTATAGGTACGCACGAAGTCAAGTTGTAGTGTTTTCTTCTTTAATATGAGACTAATCAACACAAATTGTAGGTGTGTTTTCTGACGTTTAATCGTATAGTAAATAAGTCTATCCCACAAATTAGGCAGCAAGGTAATGAAACAAGAAAAAGGAAGGAAGGAAGAAAAGAAGGAAGGAAGGAAGGAAGGGAGGAAAAGAAAGACACTTCATTTTGGCCAATTATTTCTTTTCATAATAATATAATATACTACTATTAACAATAAAAATAATAAGATGATGATGATAAGGAAAGACTGGTTCGAATGAGACCACAGAAAATGAAGTATTGAATTACCACCAGAATACCAATGTCTCAGTCCTAGATTAATGCTCATTTCACTACGGTTTGGAGAGTATATTCTTAGAAATCCTAAATCCTGAATCAGCCGGGAGGTGGCAGCACATGCCTTTAATCCCAGCACTGGGGAGGCAGAGGAAGGCAGAGCTCTGTGAGTTCGAGACCAGCCTGATCTATAAGAGCTAGTTCCACAGGCTCCAAAGCTACACCGAGAAACCCTGCCTCGAAAAAAAACAAAACAAAGCAACAACAACAAAAACCCGCAAGCAAACAAACAAGTTAAGTCCTAAATCAATATTCAGAATGTGATGGTGTTGCTTCCTGCGCATGCTCTTTCCCCTCACCTCGCTTCATGGCTCTGGGACTGCTCGGCCCACTGCGGCTGCGCGTATCTGACTCCGATGTCCTGGAACTGGACCTGGAACTGTCCTCGTCCTCTGAGCCAGAGGAATCATCCAGGAAAGGACTGCTACTTATTTGTGTCGCCTTCTAAAGAAAAGCAGGACAGCTCCCTGTATCCATCTCTAAAGTCACTGTCCTCTTTAGACATATACTGCTTTATAGAAAGCGGGCAATGGGTCTATTTTTAAGAGAGAGAAATTAGCATATTTCGATATCACGAAAGTCTGTCTTGAAACCTTAGATTCTAATTAGGTAGGAATCTGTCCATTGTAAAAGATTCCTGAAAACATAAAACTGTCAATATCTGACAGCCCTTATTTTAATTAGGGTCTTCTGGCAAAAGGGACCCTGGCAGGAACGCAAAGGACTTTCTAAATTAGGAGTTACCACTGCATCATTAATCAAATGCCATCAATGCGGGGCAGGGGAGAGGAGGAACCACATTATAACCATCTTCTCCAGGCCTTTCCGTGTCTTCTTTTTTTTATGATATACTAATGTGAACTTTTAACGTTCTACAAAGCCGGGAAGCTGTGTAAGATGTTTCAGGAGGGATGCAGAGCTTGAAGGGAGTTTCCCTTCACGCCCTGAAGAGAGGCCTGAACGCCTAACAGCAAGGGATGGATTCATTACCCCCTTTAACGTTGTGTACACTGGGGTCGTCATACTCTTGTATATCAGGGACGTGTAAAGGCCTGACGCAGGATAGGAAAGTATGGCTGCAGAATCTGAAACAGAAAACAGCATAAGAGAAAAAAAAAAAACATTCCACCTAGTACAACGGTCTATCTCTTATCAACATATTAAAAAGAAATCAGATTAACAGGCGGTTGTTAATGTTATTTTATGAGTTGCGACATTTCTAGATTTACATCTGCATGTTCTGGTTTTTAGATTCCTACTGTGGAGCCCAAGTTAACATCAAACCAGCGGTGATCTTCCTGCCTCATTCTTCCCCTCCCCCCATTGCTGGGATTACAGGCACCATACGCAGCTAGATATAGCTTGGAAGGGGCATTCCTTCCTCATGAATGCCAGCTCCTTGACTAGACCGTGTATGCTCCTTGACAGCAAGATCCATGCTTCTATTTCTGTAGCCTCTCCACTCACGCTTAGCTGTGTAGAACTAAGTATCAATGACCACTGACTGATCAGAAAGTCCCTTTGAAGGTGTCCTCTGAGGGTTGGAACCCTGCCTCTGACTTGGTGTTAAAACGCTATCATTTTAAAGCCTTGTCCGGTGATGATGGGTTACAATATACTCTCCTGAATGTTAAGATAACTAGGACAGAACACCAAGGTTACTGCTCTAGATGAACTAGTTGGAAGACTAGTGGGAGGCAGGAAGAATCACCGGAAGTCTGTCTTATTCTAGACGCTTCGGTGTGAATTATCTTGGTTTGTTTTTATGTTTTTTGAGACAAAGTCTCACGTGAGCCAGGCTAGCCTCAAACCAACTGTGTAGCTGAGGCTAGTCTTTAGCTCTAGATCCTCTCCAGCCTCTACCTGCCAAGTGCTGGCCTTATTTTCTTTTCCTAGTGGGAATGTTTGTTTTTATTAGAACTGTTTTGAAGAAGAGAGGGGAAAACATGTAGAAACCAGCAGTCTTATAATTTCTGTAACTTTAAACAGATAAAACACCTGTGTCTCTCTGCTTTGCTTTTTTGGGGTACAGATAGAACAGAGCATTCTCTACAAGAGGGTTAACTGTACTTGCACCTTTCTCCTGAATAAATGAACATCAGTTTTAAAACAAACCAGCAACCGTTTCCTGAACACTTACAAAACTCCACTATTCTGCTAACATTAGACTTTTAGGCAGGTCTTGCCTAGTGAAGCAGCAATACGAAATCGTATAACTTTAAAACCCCTTTTTATTAGCTTTTTAAAAAGCTGTAAACATTCAAATTCAACGGCTTAACCACTTTAAGTGTATTATTGGCTAGGGTGGGGTTTATCCACCTTGTTGTAAAACAGACCTTTAGAACTTTTTCATCTGACATTTTAAATCCAACAGCATCTCCCCTTCCCTAGTTTCCCCACCCCTGGTAACCATCGTTCCTGTAGTCTGCTTCTGTGATTCTGATGGCTTTAATGACCTCACCAACCCAGAACATTATGCACCTGCCTCTCAGTAGCTGCCTCCCACACCTGCTCCAGACTATGGTGCACACACGGCCTCTGCCTCAAGGCTCGCGGGCTTCACAGCATGCAAAGCACTTACTTTCATTAGCATTCTCCATATTGAAGACCTCAGACATTCGAATGCCTGATTTGGCTACAGCGTATATTCTGCTTTCCTAATATAAAAGAGAGATTGAACCAGGTGCTTACAGCCAAGAAATGATTACACGGAACATAATACTTTTCATTTGTTCTTCAGATTATTATCTGAAGAAGTATAGTGTTGTCACAAAGCTCATCAGTGCCAATAAAACACGCTATGGTGAGTAACTTGTACAGATTTCCCCCATTCATTAGTTATTCCATTATTTCTTTTTGTTCCCAAATGTGGGCTTAGTATCTTGACCTCTTTAGAAGATATAAGAATGATCGTGAGACAATCTTATTCATAGTCACTGACCATAGATAAACCCCACGTCTGATATGCTCACATTCTACACATGGTTAAAGATTTTTTTAAAGGGAGGAAACATTGCATAGTTGTAACATGAAGCCAAAAAATGTTTATAGTCATTGATTACACACAGATATCTTCTTTAATATCCTACCACGGTTAGGAAAAAAGAAGGAAAAAAACTTGCATCCGGAATCATAGTAGAGATTTGAATGTTACTACCTTCTTACTTCAGTGTACATCTCAGTAATGTAAAATAGACTTTGGGTCAAATAAGAAATGGATTGGAGAATTACACTGGCGTTGTTCCAAAAGTAGCTTATTATGTTGCTTCTTCTCTGAGAAAGATCTCTGAAGTGGGTACTGCAAGATTAGCATCACTGCCTACTGTGAAAAAGGACCCCAGTGATTCCCAGCGCACAGATCACCACACCTTTCATAAAAGGTCTACACCAGAACACAGCAGGCAACCTTCATCGTGTTCATCTTCCAGGATGGCAAGAGATTGCTGATGAATAGGGACACGTTGGGTTGATGAATGCCAGTGGGATTGACACACAGAGATTAACACACAGATCAACTGGAAAGCTTGTAATGCTAAGGCAGTGTGAGCAGGAGCTTCGTGGCAGTCGGCGTCCACGTGGAGCATGAGACGGCAGGAAGCCGGAAGGAAAGCGGAAAGAGAGTTGCCATAGACAAGAGGACAAGCCCGCCCAAGGCAGGCCACTTATTTATAAAGAGCAAGCCATCAGAGGTATTGCTGGATCACAGGATGCCCTACCAGAGTGACTATCACATTGCGAATGATGCTCTAATTCAACCAGGATGGGCCTGCTTTAAGTTAGCCTCTTACTGACTGAGGTAGCTAGAACATCTCCTGGAAACCTGACGAAACCTGAAAATGCCCATGAACCTTTGCCCGTGGTCAGTCCACTAGAACATTTGAAAAGCAAATCTACTTTTCCAGGACCAAAGGGCTTCAAGAGGGAAAGAGAAGGAAACGGTAAAATTGCCAAATAAAATGAACTTGGAAGCTCAGCATCGGTCTTTGAAAGTCTCAACTTGTAACAAAGAAGCCAAATTTCAACTTACTCCTGCCTAAGGGCAGCATAACTAGAATTCCAGAGATTTGCATGCCATTTGCTTCTACTTTCTTGGTGCTGTGCAGAATTTAGCAATAAGTAAGAGGTTGTTTCAAGTGGATCCTGAAGGGGAGAAATGTTCTCTTGAAGGTAAGAAAAAAGCGGACACATCTCAAAGTCTGAATTTATATTCGGGGAGCCATGGTGGTCTTAATTTGCTTACAATTACAGAAAGCCACTAAATAAAATAACCACAATAAAAGAACATGACTCCCGAGTCCAAAATACCCGGCTAACCCAGGTGTTTCATTTGAAGCCTGAGGTTAAGTTGTGCCAATGTGGAAAGGAAACTTAAAGTCTATGAAACAGGCCAATTCACTTAATTTTAAATATTTTAACTATTGGGGCTGGTGAGATGGCTCAGTGGCAAAAGGCACAGGTAGCTAAGTGTGGCAAGCTGAGTTTGATCCCCGGAGCCTACATGGTGGACGAGAGACTCCTGCAGCTTGTCCCTGACCTTCACAAGTATACTGTGGCATGCTCGCCCCTGCCATGAATAAATAAATACATGTTAAGGTTTAAAGCTAGAGTTTTTTTTTAATCTTGCAATGTAGATATTCCTAGGAAATATCACATAACTGGCAGGTTGGTTTTGTAGTCACAGTCAATGTTTCCATAGAAAATTCAGTCTCCTCTAGGTCAGTAGGAGGATGCTACAGCTGAAGTAGCAAAGCAAAACCTCTTTTAATAAGCAATCCTCAAACCTCAGAACCACGACCAATGAGAGTTAAGAGCTGCTTCAGAACCCACTCCAAAGTGTCGGTTAGAGGGGGCCCTTCTCCCCATCCCATCACGTCTCCTGGGGGGGGGGGCTCGAGTCACTGAATACTACCACTCTCTCTACACCTTCGCTTTCTCTTCCTTGGTATGCACAGCCCAGCACCGTTCCTCTCCCCCTTGAGAAGGATCTCTCACAAGCATCAAGCATCTTCATGCCATAAGAGAGGCCATAAGGGGTCCTGGCCTGGCTTCCCCCAAGAGGAAGTCGGTGTGATCTAGCTCCAGCTTGGGCCGGCATGTACAAATCTAATTCCAAAGTCTAATACTGAAAAGCTCATTTGCCCTCCAAACCCCCTATCTAGAAATAAAGTCATAGCTTTGAATCTCCCATCTGTCTTGTTTCTCAATCTTTTTTTTTTTTCCAGAATATGGTTGGGGAGGAGAAGGGGACATTGTATTCTGATAGCTGGAACTTGTGAGGACAAAGCCGTATTTGAAAAGGGACAGGGGCGGGAAACCTGAGAGCCAGCGCCGAGAAGAAGCCCCGTGTACGTGTACGTGCTGGGGAGAGGAATGCAATTACCCAAGAGGGAAAGCGATGCAAAGGAGGCGTGGGAGGCTTGCTGCACGAGGCCTTCTTTGCCGGCTCGCTGGTTTCCTGGTCATCTGCGTTCGGGGAATCCAGGGAGTCGTAGGAAAATAAGCCGTCATCACAGCTCGTGTCCATGCTCTCCACCACTTCCATGCCGTCACCATCAACTACATCAAGATCCGTTTCCTGAGGTCTCAGCGGCCGGATCATGCTTATGGCATTCCTGTTCATGCCAAACATCCGGTCGGAACATAGCTGTGGCTGGCTCAGGTGCCTTTTGGTGAGCGCCACACTTATACTGAAAACATTGGGGATCCTTAACTTTGGGGGTGGCAGGTATACTGAAGGCACCAACTGTGTTCCTTTCCCGGGGAGTGAGTTAGGATGTTTGGGGGTTAAAGCTGGGGTCAAAATAGGGCTTGGGGTGTTGGCCTCACTTGATGAGGATGAATAATCCAGTCGCTGGGACTGGAATTTCTTATTCAGTTCATCCGAAGAACTGTCTTGTTCCTTGATGCCCGCCTGAGAATTCCCCTTCGCAAGGCTATTCTGACCTTTCCACAGTGCCTTCTGCTGCCAAGAATATAGTTTCTTGGGCTCGGGCTGGTTAACGCCAAAAGCCTCTTCTTCGAATATAGAACTGCTATCATCAGATGCAGTGAGATACGCCTCGCTGCCCATCCTGCCACACCGGACGCCCTCCTCAGACGTGTGGCTGGAAAGGGTGGACGTGCACCTGGACTTGGACATGCCCTTGCTTCGGTCTTCCTCGTCAGAACTCCAGTCACTCGCCGGAGCCCCGGAATTCTGGGACATCCCACCATCTGTCGCAAAGCTTGCTCTTATTTTCCGATTCTGTTCTGAGTTGCAAGGGGTCTCGTGCAACTTCTTCTGGCTTCTGTTTTCTTGGACTTGGTTATCGTCAGGCTTCTCTGCAATTTCCATCTCTGGAGGAAGATACATCACATTGGCAGGTTGCCTTTAATAATGAAACCTTTACAGTAACTACGCTGCGTGTACGCATTACCCTGCCTGATGTAACTACACTGTAGAGACTGGCGATTTCATGTGAGTTTATCAACTTACACTGTTCTTTGTTAGTTATATGCCTTTTTAAACAAGTTTGGAAAATGCGGGATTTATAAAAACATGGAATCCTTATACTTCAATTTAATTGTATCAAAAGTAAATTGAGTTTTACAAACAAATATGTTGGGGAATGAAAATTGACAACAATCTAAAGAGAGAAAGCAGAGTGTGAAGCAGAATGAGTCTGACCAAAGAGAGAAGCTGCCAAAAAATACAAACGCCATTAGTTCCATTTTAGAAGCAGAGAAAATAACCCTTCTCCCACTAATCTCAAAAACCATCATAATATAAGTCTGAACATGAACACAAAGCCTTAATGTAAGAAGCAAATTTTGTGGTGGCATACTCCTCTAATCCCAGGACTGAGGTGGCAGAGGCAGACTGATCTCTGTGAGTTTCCAGACAGCCTGGTTCCAAGACAACCAGGTCTATAAAGCAAGTCCCAGGACACCCAGAGATACACAGAGAAACCCTGCCTCAAAAAAACAAAAACAAACAAAAAACCAAGCTTTGTGCCCACAAAATGTGTAAATTCACAGAAAAACTTTCTTCTACTCTTGGTTTAACTGCAACTACAATGTGCATTTTGATAATAAGAATAACACACATCTTTAATTTCGGCACTCGGGAGGCAGAGGCAGGCAGATCTCTGTGAGTTCAAGGCCAGCCTGGTCTACAGAGCGAGTTCCAGGACATCTAGGGCTCTTACACAGAGAAACCCTGTCTCGGGAAAAAAAAAAAGAATAGCCTCTTTAAATGCCTTTAGATATGGATTCCATTTGTCGGCACCGTGAGAAAAGGAATGCACCAATAGCTTCATAAATAATGGCTTAACAGGAGCTTTGAAAACATAACTATGAACTTCACAACTTAGGAACGAGAGGCTGAACAAAGATGCCCCCAAGTTTTGTAGCAGCTGCTAGTTACATGGGGATGGAAAAGGCTTCTTGGAGAAGTAAATGAAATGCCGGTAACAGCAAGAAATAGGTAACTGGAAAAGTACGATGTAGTGTTCAGAAGGCCTGAAACCAAGCCCAGTGGCAACTTTCACAGCTAGCATTTTTTCTCATGCACTGGAAGGAAACCAGATCCAGTGTAACTAAGTTGCAAGCTCAACCTTCCCTCCAACTATTGGGAGAGTCAACAAAAAAGATTGCCTTTGGGGTGTTATGGTCAGGCTGCGACACCAGGCAAAATTCAGAAGGAAGCTGTGAAGAGAAGAGCAGAAATCTTCACACAGGACCAGGGTCAGATTATCTAGGCGATATTTCTTCTCTGAGATAACAAAGAAAGTAGTTATCAAAGTACCCCCCCAAGTGTTCATTTCTTTATGTATTGATTTCATGTTTAATATTAGGTCATTAAAAATATAATCAAGAAGCTATGAACACGGATGCAGAATTCTCATCTGAAATTGGGTTAAAATGCATACCTTGTAGTTAGAATTATAACCTTTTATATTTTATACCTTTCCACCTGGAGCAAGAGAAAGCACTAAGATGGGGGAAAATCAGTTGCTCCTCTGTGGCCCTGGCAAAAACCCAGGTTAAGACAATGTAACTAGATACAAAGTTCAGTGTTGTATGGCTCTTGATAAATATTCCCTTGAAGTACTGAGGTGTCATGGAGAACCAAGCTTAACCCTGGTTACTCTTTGAGAGTGATGTTTTCGCTTTTTGAAAAAGGGCTGAGGTAGCTTGCCAGAGTCTGAAAGTACCTTCTACGCATTTTCCCTCGGTGACCTCGGGTTCTTTACATGCCATCTTGCTGATTTCCTCGGATCTGACCACATGAGGAGGACTCTTTGCTCGGGACAGGAAGCATCCAAACTTCAAACTGCTCAGGTGCTGCCCTTCTGAGGGCTTCGGTGTGGAGACGCAGGATACTTTCTTGCCCTGGAGTTCTGCAAGGTGGGGAAGCCAAATGGAGTGCAACTTTTCAGGGCCGTTTGTTAGACACGGAATGAAAGCGTAGACGGGCTTGAATAAACCACTCAATGCCAGAAAAAAGACTGAATTTCATCTTTTACTAATGTATAGTGAATGGAAACCCCAACATAGAGTATAGGAGTCTAAATCTCTCTGTCTCTCTGTCTCTGTGTGTGTGTGTCTCTCTCCCCCTCTCCCTCTCTCTCTCCCTCCCCCTCTCCCCCTCTCTCTCTCTCCCCTCCCTCTGTGTGTGTGTGTGTGTGTGCACACGACAGTACATGCATGCATGGGCTCATGCCAGGCGGGGGGTCAGTGGGTAAAAGCGCTTGCTGCCAGTCCTGGTGATCTGACTTAAGGATCACTAATCATGGGTTTAATCTAGTGGTTCTCAACCATCTTCATGCTGTGGCCTATTAATATAGTTCCTCATTTGGTGACCCCCAAGAAGAAGATTATTTCCATTGCTACTTCAAACTGTAATTTTGCCACTGTTACAAATTGTAATGTAAATATCTGAAGTGCAACCCCAAAGGGGTCACTACACACAGGTTGAGAAACAATAGTTTAACCCATCTTCAGGACTCTTTATATTGTTGCTTTTAACATCAAATGCATGGAGGTCCCAGGAAGAAAAGTTCCTGAGGAAGTTAATTTCAGAGCACTGGGAAAGCAACAGAAGGTGAAATGTATTATGCTAAGTACCAACTGATAATATGGAAAAGTATTTCTAGTGTATTTCTTCAGGGGGGATCTTTGAAGTTTTCTAGTTGATCATCTATCACAGAACTGAGTCACAATGATATAGTAATGATTATGTACATTACTTCTCAAATTCCATGGAACCTGCAGCTGTGGGCTTAACCAATGTGAATCAAAAATACTTAGAAAAAAATCTGTCTCTACTGAATATAGACAGATACTTTACTATGATTCTCTAAAAATACAATCTAAGAAATATTTATACAATATCTACCTTTTATTAGGCATTTTAGCAGCATGAAGATGATTTAAAGTTACGGGAGAATGTGTGCAACATATTATGTGCAAATCCTGGGTCGTTTTGTTTAAGGACCTAGAATATCATTAGAGTTTGCTATGCATGGGGTCCTAGCCTCAGTCTTCTGTGGATACTGACAAAAAACATACACACTTGGTGTGTGTGTGTAATATGCAAACATTTTGTACATATAGACATTATAATATGTACATATATATTTTGTAAATACATTAAATCTAGCATACATAAGGTATCTACGCTCCAGTCTAAGCCTAGTTCCCAAGGATCAGAACCTCTTAGTATACAAAACCCAAGAGACTGTCAATGAAGACTAGAATTGCAAGCCAGGGATATCATTGAAATTAACAACCTTTTGCAAATAGAATTGGTTCATCCAACCTATTTCAGAGAAGGTGAGTGGCAGGAAATCAGGAAACCTTAATTCTCAATATGGACCTTCAGATCAGTTATGGCAGTGTCTGGTTTTTTGTTGTTTTTTTTTTATCATTCAGATGGAGGAAATGAAAGCAAGTATTAACATGCTCTAAACAAATTGCCTAGCCAGGTGTAGCGGCTGACACCTGTAATCCCGGCTGATAATGCATGAGTGAACTAAGTTATGTGACATTTGCAGCAACCAGAGGCGGCACCTGAGAACCACAGAACACATCCCAGTTGCCTTCAAAGAACACCAGATTCAGGGGCATGTTCAGAATGCATGAAGCCTTCAATGCAGATACAACTAACTATACCACACTGCTGACTTGTTAATCCCACTAAAGGGTCTATTCTTCCTAAGGCCAAAGTCTAAGTCTTGGAATGCTGAAGTGCAAACCTCTAACAAACACAAACACCCCCACCATTTGGCTTCATATCACCTTCCCTGTTCGGGCAAAATTATCAGAGCAATGTAGCACTGCACTGCTTGGAAGGACCAAAAACGCTACTGGAGTCAGCACCAGTTGCCTGTGACACCTGAACTGCAAGGCTGACATTAATATGTAGTAGTTTCAGCAAATTGGATTCTTTGCATCTTAAATAGATTGTCTTTTAGAAGAGAGAGGCAAAATTACTATGCAGTCATATTTTCTATATAATAGACCCTTTGATAAATAGATATATCATTATTCATCTTTTTTTTTTTGCCTTTGATTCCTCAGTCCAACATCCCTTGGGTACAGGATTCAGGTTGGTAGGAGAAATTATTTTTCATTTACTGACAATAGCAACTTATGTGATATTCTTAATTTGATCCTTAAAACATGGGCAAAATGATAATAAACTCCTATATAGCCAAATAAGTTCAGCTGAGTTATCTTAATGGAAATCTATGTACCTTGCAACTTCGACTGTATTGCTCTTATCTCTTCAGATTGATTTTGGTTGATGAAACGAAGATTCTGATTCTCCACTTCCAGCTGAAAGAATATAATCATACTATTCAATCTAGGAATAACATTTTTAAATGCACTAATAAATTATAAAATTTAGAAAATGACAATATATAATTACTCTATTTGCAAGCTGGTGAACTTATCAGCACTGATTATCAACTTCAACAATTATATCATCAATATTTATTTGTCCAGAGCTAAAATTTTCCAACCCTATGTATTTCCCACTATAAAACAATTTTAAAACTATTTCAGCATTTAGTTTATGCTTCTCAGATATCAAACCTATTAATTGTATGATATATACATGCAATGTTCATAATTATCTAAAATTAACTCATTATAATGTGGCTATTTACAGTCGTCATGAGTCTATCAATATTTTAATTTTAAAAGTATAACAGATATTAAAATGAAAGTCTATCTCAAATTTACCAAAATATAGGACCATAATAACCAGTTAATTGATTGGAATTTTATGTCTCACTCAGGGTTGTATATTCTGAAGAGTTTAATCAAAAGAAGTAAATAAAGGAAAAATATAGCAATAAGTACCTCATTTAACTTAACTGTTACCCATTCCTTGATCTTAGCTGCCTTCTCTTCTATTATTTTAGCTTCTTGTACTCTCACTTGTTTCTGAAACAACAACAACAACTTGTTTAGGTCAAACATAAGCTCCTTGGCTTGGAGACATCGCATTGTAAAATATAGAAGGCAAATTCACTTAGGACCTGTTTCCAGGTTAATACAGATTTTTTCCAGACAGAGTAATCCATGCCTGTAATCCTCACCCTTGGAGGCTGAGGGAGGAGGATCACGAGGACTAGAGCCAGTCTGAAACAGTAGATCTTGTTAAGGAACAAAACAACAGATGGGGTAGGAAAGGAAGGAAAGAAAATCTGTTTCACAGACAAAGAAGTCAAAAAGCCCATGCAGATGTGATGATACACCTGTCGCTGTGGGAGCAAACCTCCGGGCATGTCCAGGGGTTTTCTAGATTGGGTCAATCAATGGGAAAGCCCCCTTAAATCTAGTAAAATGGCACTATTCCATTGAGTGGGGCCTTGGGCTGAATAAAAGGAGAAAGTGATGGACTGTACCCTCACACTGGGAAATACAAAACTGTTCCTTCCTCAAGTTGGTTTCGTGAGGTGTTTCGCTGAAGCAACAGGAAAATGTCTACCTAGTACCCCAAGCACTGCTTCGAGCCGTGTTTCTCTCTTCCTTTCTCACACAATGAAGTGAATCCCCTAAGTATATCAACAAAATGAACCATCTCAGGACCAGTAGAATTGGATCAACTAAGGTGGTGAGAAGAATCATGAATCCACTTAGGAGCAGGGCTGTTTTCTCCCTCAAACACTGGTTTAAAAAAAAAAGGCAGAGGCAGGCGGATCTCTGTTAGTTCGAGGCTGGGCTGGGCCAACAGCCTCCAAAACAATACAGAGAAACCCTGTCTCGTAAAAACTAAAAAAAAAAAAAAAAAAAAAAAATTCCAGGCCGGGCATTGGTGCACCCCTTTAATCCCAGCACTCAGGAGTCAGAGGCAGGCAGATCTCTGTGAGTTCGAGGCCAGCCTGGTCTACAGAGCGAGTTCCAGGACAGCATCCAAAACAATACAGGGAAACCCTGTCTCGAAAACAAACAAACAAAAAATCCAGAAAAACAAACAAAGAGAAATTCTAATTCACATTTAACAGCCTTAAAACCTGGTCACAAAACTACTGTGAGTGTGAATAGTGTACACAGCACAATGAGTGGATTGGGCTGCTAGAAATCAGGAAAAAAAAAAACCAAAAAAACAAAAACCCACTGGCCTAAAACTCTGACCCAATAGAAAAGTGAAAAATTTAATAGATTTAACAAACATAGAAGTCACATTAAAATGTTATTAAATGGCTACTTTAGTAACCATTGGATCCTAATATAAATTTTTGTTGATTTTTGAGATAGGTATTACTCTGTAGCTCAGGATAGCCTCAAACTCATGGCAATCCTCCTGCATCAGCCTCTCAAGTGCTGGGATGATAGGGACCAACCATTACACCCAGTTCCCAGTGAATTTTTGTCATAAAACTTACAGTATTCTATGTGCTCAAATAAGGCAGCTGAAAACTATACTTTTTTAAGCAGACGTAGGATTAGTGCTAAATATAAATCTATACGATGGTCTGTAAATACTTTTTTCTTAGATAGCCTCATCATGCTGTCCAGACTGGCCTCACACTAATGATCCTCCAGGATTCTGGGACCACAGGCATGGACCACCATACCCAGTTTGGCTGAAATGTTTTATGAACATAAATGCCTGTTATAAACTAAATACTTCCAAATGAAAAACATCACATTTAAACTCTAAAGTCTGAATGTTAAATAGCATTGACACATTTTTTAAAAACTACTTAAATCTGGGACCAAAGAGATGGCCCATGAGTAAAAAGGCACTTCTGCCACGCCTATGATGTGAGTTCTATCACCACCCGGTGAAAGGAGAGAACCAACTCCTGTAAAGTTCCCTCTGTCCTCTACACATAGCAACACGCGCACACAGACACACAGACACACAGACACACAGACACACACACACACACACACACACACACACACACACACACACACACACGCCTTAAAATGTACCAGATCTTCCCTTGAAGCCTTGAGTCACCCAAGACATGATGGGAATAGCATTTTTACTTGTACCCGTTACCAACACATGTGACACAGTCCTACAAGTCAGAGTTCCCCTCCAGGTAAAAAGATCTCAGCTAGGTCTTTAATTACATATTAATGAGTACATATTAATACAACTGATGATTCAGTTTTCCTAACCTGCTCTTCAAGCCGCAGCTCCAGGTTCTGAATAATGTCATCCTTTTCCTGCATTACCGACTCCAGATCTTGACACTTCTTATAGAGCCGAGTCTCTGACTCACTGGTTTGAATATTAGCTGCCTTTAGTTTCTCCTCCATAACTTGTACCTAAATTCAGAGGGTAAAATAGTAACATTATGGCACACTTAATACATCATAGTTCTAAGCTTTTAATTTCACTTTAACATTAGGTTCTTAAACTGTCACAAAGTAAAAACTATTAATCGGCAAGGTATAACATGTTATGATGATTTCAAAATCTGAACACTATTTTGACAAGTGGTGTTGTTACCTTCAGGGTTGGCACCAGAGATCACCAGACTGCTGCGTTTACATAGGACGAGGCACATACTTACTAGAGCAATGTGTGCAAAGTGTTCCTATAGAAGCCAAAGTTTCTAGTCCCATCTCCCCGTGTCTGTTCCACTATGTTCACAGCAGCACTATTTGTAATAGCCAGAACCTAGAAGCAACCAAGATGCCCCTCAACTGAATAGTGGATAGAGAAAATGTGGTACATTTACACAATGGAGTACTACTCAGTGGGGAAAAACAATGGGATCTTGAAATTTGCAGGCAAATGGACGGCACTAGAAGAAACCATCCTGAGTGAGGTAACCCAGTCACAAAAAGACAAACATGGTATGTATTCACTCATATATGGATTTTAGACATGGATCAAAGAAGTGCCAGTCTGCAATCCCACTGGCAGAGAGGTAGGGAAACAGGAAAGAACTTAAGAGAGGTATGCATGGTACCCCAGAGAAGGAGAATGAAACTAGATCTCCTGAGCAGATTGGGAGCAGGGGGCGGGAGAAGGGCGTGGGAGTTGGGAAAAAGAAAGGGTAAGAAGAGGAGGAGAGAGGAGGTGAAGGGGGAGCAACACGGTTAAGTTGGGGAAGAATAGGGGAGAACAGGATGAGAAATACCATAACAGAGGGAGTCATTATAGGTTTGAGGAGAGATCTGGCACTAGTGAGATTTCCAGAGATCTACAAGGATGACACCAACTGGCAAACTAAGCAATAATGGAGAGACTACCTTTAATACCCATCCCCGATAATGAGTTTGATGACTACCTTATATGCCATCCTAGAACCTTCATCCAGTGACTGATGGAAGCAGAGGCAAACACCCACAGCTAAACACTGAACTGAACCCCTGGAACCCAGTGACAGAGAGGGAAGAGTGATGAGCAAAGGGGTAAAGAATGGGCTGGTGAAACCAACAGAAACAGCTGACCTGAACAAGGGGGAGCTCTTGGACCCCAGACTGACAGCTAAGAGGCCAGCATGGGACTGATCCAGACCCCCTGAATGTGGGTGTCAGTGAAGAGGCCTGGACAATCTACAGGGCCCTGGACAGTAGATTAGTATTTATCCCTGGCATACAAATGGACTTTGTATGTCCATACCACAAAGAGGGATCCTCTCTCAGCCTGGACTCTTGGGGGAGGGCCTAGGCCCTACCTTGAAGGAAATGACAGACTCTGTATATCCACTATGGGAAAGGGAATGGGGATAGGGTGGGAGGCTAGAGGGGCTGGGGGAGTGCGGGAGGAGGAGAGGGAGAGAGAGCTGGGATTGACATGTGAAGCAAGTTTGTTTCTAATTTTAAAAAATGTAATAAATAATAATAAAAAAAGACCATAAGGAAATATTAAAGAAATATGGTAAGTGATGAGATAAGAATCAACTTAGATGGCCTGGATAATAACACATTTTTGGGAGAAAACTGAACTTAGGTTAGAAAGAAAGATTTAAAGCCGAGATGAGTCCAGAAACAGGCAGTAGAAGGCATTTAGTGGGGGTTCATTAATTTATTCACTTAATGAATGTTCTCCAGTTCCAGCAGGAAGGCACCGGTGAATAAAACAGACCGTCAAATCTCTTCCTGTATCCAAGCTACTCTTCAGTGGAAAAAGAGACAATAAGTGTAATGATAGACACATACAACTCAGCAGTACAGTATATGGCTAGTGAGTGTAACAGGCGTCAGGCTGGTGGGGGAGCCATGCTTCATTTATGTTTTGGTTTGGTTTGGTCTTTTATGTTTTCAAGTTTTTTGTGACATGGTTTTTCTGTGTATCCCTTGCGGTCCTGGAACTCAGTCTGTAGACCAGGCTGGCTTCGAACTGAGACATCCGCCTGCCTCTGCCTCCCCAGTGCTTGGATTAAAGGTGTGAGCCATCACTACCTGTCTCATTTTTAAATGTCTAAACCAGACAGACCCTGCTTGGATCTTCTGCAAAGTACACAGAGGCAGACAGAATCTCCAAAGGGCATGTGTGCCAAGTCTGCTCACTCACACAGACTGAGTGTGTGAATTTACCCAACTCAGTGAGGTTGACTCATCGTCACCACTTTCTGATTTGCCCGTTTCTCTTTCTGCAGATCCCAAACCCAATGCCCACACTGTAGACTTCATGGGAAGGTCTAAATAAGAGAGGTGTTTGTGATAGACAGAAAGCAGAGTGTTGAGAATGCTACACAGTGTTCTATAAATAAATATCACTATAATATTCTTAATTTTACCAGAAGCTTGGCAATTACAGGCATATGAAGAAAAATTAACACTTCTGAGAAACTGAGGATGACCGGTTTAAACAAAAGCAAACCTTTCCATCATTTTAATAACATCAGAAAAATCGTAATGAGTCCTTAAAGCCAGTTGACATTTAGACATGTTTGACTAAAGGATATTTTTAGCAGGAAGCTCTGAAGGTGTGTTTGGTTTTACTTTTTAACCATGAATACCAGGTTTCATCTGTGGGTTCACTGTGCAAATGTAACTTGGATTCAGATGCCAAGACTGTTCTAAGAGACACACAAACACACGCAGCTGGAAACTTTGAAAACAAAAGCAGAGTTTCAAAACAGGAGGAAAATGTATTCTGCTCTTCAAATAATAATTTAAGTGGCCTTAGTTTTGGATTCTTTAACATAAAGCAGTGATTTTTCTTTGATGAACTATAAAAAAGTCAATACCAAAGACATTTTCCATGGATAATAGCCCAGCAGGAGAAAAACAGACAGTAAATACTCAATCTCCCAAAACTAATATGTCAGCTCCCTTCTGAGAATAAAAGAATAGAAGGCAAACCTCAAGAAAGACAAGTAGAGAGGTTCAGTCAGTTATGCGCCTGCTGTGCAAGTGTGAAGATTTGAGTTCAGATCCCCAGAACCCAATAAAAGCTGAGCATGGCAGCTCCCAGTGCTTGGAAGGAGGAGAAAGGAAGATCACTGCCCACCAGTCTAGGCAATGCCATGAGTTCTGTTCAGTCTTCAATAAAGGACTCTGCTTCAAAACATAGAGGACCTCATCAAAGAATCCTCTTCATGCAGGGTTAATAAAGACTCCTAAGTAGAGTGCAGAGAAGAAGTAATCGTAGCGTGTTGAGCGCAAAGTGCGATCTTTATACATGCCACTTCCTCTTACCAGGCCTCAGGAGTGGGCAGTGGGATGAGGGTAAGAGCAGAGGTCCAGAAGACTGCTTTGAAAATACGTCTTCTGGATGACCAAGTTCCACAGGGCTCCCAGCCTTCCTCGGTAATCGCCACAAATAAGATGTCTACAGAAACGTTTTCCTTACAGAAGGAACAAGCAGCCCTTTTACAATGTCCTACCGCAAACACACGGAAAACAGCCCAGTTCTTTTTCCATTCATTTAACCTTAACCAGACGAGAATGTTAGCCAGTAACAAACACCTACCAGGGGGCTGGAGAGATGGCTCAGCAGTTATGAGCACTGCCTGCCCTTCCAGAGGACCTGGGTTCAATTCCCAGCACCTACACTGCAGCTCACAACTGTCTGTAACTCCAGTTCCAGGGGTCCTGATACCCTCAGAGAGACATACATGCAGGCAAAACACCAATGCATATAAAATAGTTTCATGAACACATAGACACCGGCAGAGAGAGAGAGACAGAGAGACAGAGAGAGACAGACAGAGAGACAGACAGACAGAGACAGAGAGAGAGAGAGAGAGAGCAAGGAATTCAAATAAACTTCGTACTCTCAGAGAGGTTTTTTCCTTCTGGGTAAATTCCTATCTGCTCCCACTTAGCATACCCTTGGCCCATTTCCCCTAAGCCTCTTTGATTGTGAAACCCCTAAGCTACTCTGCAGCAAGGAACTAGCTCAAGCAGACTTGATGCTCATATACCAAAGACAGGAGGACTTGTCTGTTTTGAAATAATTAATTTTATATTATATGAACCTCAGCCCAATTAAAAAACAATAACATGGGGCTAGAGAGATGGTTCAGCAGTTAGTAGATCATACTGTTTATCCAGAAGACTCAAGTTCAGTTCCCAGCACCCACAACAGCCTGCAACTCAAGCAACTCAAGCTCTCACAGGCACCAATACCACTGTTCTATGTAGGCACCAACATCCACATGCGTTCTCTCTCTCTCTCTCTCTCTCTCTCTCTCTCTCTCTCTCTCTCTCTCTCTCTCTCTCTCTCTCTCTCTCACACACACAAATTTAAAGTAAATGTTAAAGAAAAACAAAACCGGAAGCAATTATGAGATGTTTGGGAGAATTTTGAATGGTATCTAGTTATTAGACACAGGGTGGAATTTTTGGTAATATTTTTGGCATGGCAATGGTACTGTGGTTGGGGTTTCAAAGAGTCTTTTAGATTGGTTGCTTTGATTTCACTCAGCTTTATTCATGGGTACAATCATGCGATATCTGATTTGCTTCCAAATAAATGATCCGTGTAGGGTTGAGTGGAGGCAGCAAGTGACTAGTGGCAGACAAACCACAAGTTAACTAACCCCGAGAGTTCATTATGTCATTTCCCTACTCTTACGTGTGGTTGGAGTGTCATGTAATACAATTTTAAGACTTCTTTTCAAGTATAAACAAGAAATCAAGGATTGGGGTGGATTGGTATAGCCACTCTAACAATGTGCTGTGTAAAATCTGGTCTAGGCTCTAGACGGAAGACGATTGGCGTACGGACAGAACACCTGTACTGTGCATTCCTTAGAAAGAATTCTGTATTGACAACTGCTGTACTGTGCATTCCTTAGGAAGAATCTGTATTGATGCTTTTGGAAATTGTTGGTTTGAGTGACTGTGATAAAGAGTTGTTTCATAAAACAAGAATTTGAGATATTGATTTGAGATTATTAGAGAGTTTTAAGGCTGGGTGTACCCATCCAAACCATCCACTTACTACTCTCAAGGCTCAGAAAGGGCTAAGTGACTTACCAAACCATCACCTAAAGAACTAAAGCAGTATTTTAAAAACGGAATGAAAATGCAGGAAAATACCCTTTTTTCCTTTTTTCTTTTTTCATGACAGGGTTTCTCTGTGTAGCCCTGGCTATTCTGGAACTCACTCCACAGACCAGGCTGGCCTTGAACTCACAGAGATCCTCCTGCCTCTGCCCTCCTGAGTGCTGGGATTAAAGGTGTGCACCACCACTGCCAAATAAAATAATCTTTCTTAATGTCACAATTCAAGCAAACTTCTAATTTCCTCTCAAACTACTTTTAAACTCATGCATTTGGCATTTCTTATCCATAAATACTAATATATGAAATATACAATTTTGTGCATATTTTCCTAATATAATTCTAAGCATTTGCTCTATTAATTTTCAGGAAAATGATTTTAAATAATTGTTCAACAGTTCATAGCTTTAAGTTTATTTACTGATTCTTCTACAATAGAATTCATATCATTTTCAATTCTTTATTACTATGCATAAAGCTGATATGACCATACTTATATATAAAACTTAATTGCAATTGGGATTTCTATTAAAAGTCATATTTGGAAAATCCTTAAAAGAACAAAATAGAGTTCAATTTTTCCACTCTGTGGACTGAGCTCATGAGCAGTCACAATGATGAGAGATATTCAGGAAGGTTGACAGCTATCCTGCTATTATGAGCTAAGCAGTCTTTATATGCATAGAGACAGATAAAGATTAAATTATGCTCTACCTGTTGAAAAGCCTTCTCTGCTTGACGTTCAGCATCGATTACTTGTCTCTCCAACTGTTGCATCTGTAGGTGAGGAAGGGTATAAAATACACAAACATTTATATTTGCCCTTTGGGAAAAGGCTTTGAATCTCCAAATGTCAGCAATTCTTAAAAATATATGAAGTAGTCCATTGGATATGAATTACAAGTAACACATTAAAAAGCACTTGGTAGTTTAAAAATTGATAAAATGTCAAAAGTCTTGATGCTTTTAATACATTGAAGTCCATTCATTAGTACATATCTTGGTAACTTTATAAGGGTTGTTTGGTAGTTCATAGCATTGGTACTGTTCATGTTTTCATTCTTCAATATGAAACTTCATATACCACAGGGATGTTCATCAATAGATAGGATATTATTGATCAATACATACTAAGAATAATAAAAAGTAAGACTTCAAATGTCATATTTGCTTTTTGGTCAAAAGCCACGATGAAATCAGGGAAACGTATATTCTCACAGACTCACTTGGATGGTATATTCAAATCGCAGCCAAGGCACCCTGTAGTCTTACAGAATGATGGAAGGATATAAGAGTCTTATTAAACACAAATACCAAAATAAGTATGGAAAGCGCAAGGTTAAAGGATCCAATGATAATTTTGTTTTTTGGTTTTTTGTTGTTGTTTTTTGAGATAGGGTTTATCTGTGTAGCTTTGTAGACCAGGCTGGCATGGAACTTACAGAGATTTGCCTGCCTCTGCCTCCCAAGTGCTGGGATTAAAGATGTGTGCCACCACTTCCCAGTTAGGAACCAATGACAATTAAGGGATGTGTGCTACGTGTTGAGTACACAGCCATAAGGTAAAATTCAAGTCTTTTCTCTTGAGCCTGTAGTTGGACCAAGTTTAGAGCGACCTGTGATTGGATCTGTGTTCTTTGTCATTCTCCCAGAACTCATGGTAAGCTTCCAACTCTCTGCACCCCTGGGCTTCCCTGAAGGACAAGAGAGAGAGAGAGAGAGAGAGAGAGAGAGAGAGAGAGAGAGAGAGAGAGAGAGAGAGAGAGAGAGAGAGAGAGAGGAGAGAGAGAGAGAGAGAGAGAGAGAGAGAGAGAGAGAGAGAACACATGCAACACAGACAAGACAGACTCTTCCAAACAAAGAAAAGAGATGAAAAGGGGGTACAGATAAGGAAAGTGTTCACATTTGTCTTTCAAAAGAATGTCAACTACAGCTGCTGCTTTCTCGAATGTCCTGCTGCTACTCCATCGTTGAAAATTTAAAACATCTTTTTGCTGACAAGGAACACATCTCAGTCCTTTTATGTGGGCTACACCATACCTGGAGGCCTCCAATAGGTGTCCTAAGTAGAGAGTCGGTGAAGAGGCTCAAGGGGCTTCTCGGGAACCATACGTAGTGTAAAGATCAAGATGTAATTTAGAATTTATCCTTTGATAAGCAGCTGGTAGTCTGCCTGAAATGTGTGGGTCTTATGAGGATTATGAAGGAAGAAATGTGTTTAATACATACCCATTGGGTACCTCATTCAAGCAGCAATGCCTAATAACCTGCATCAAATAATAAAAGGCTGCTGTTCAGATATAGTCATTATGCTTAATGAATTTATTCCCCCGGTTAGAGTAATGATGGCATTTGGTCACTGTTGTTATGCGTTGCTGGGCTTTTTTGCCTCCAAACAATTCAGAAAATGAGAGCTGGTGAGTAATACGTCTGTGCTGTTGAAGGACCACTTGACATGTGGCAGGTCCAATGTAAGACGGACAACATAAGGTAAGCATCAAATACATACTTCAATCAATAACATTTTTATATTTATCCAAATAAATTTTATACTAACTCTAGGTTAAAATACTTGAGATGCATTGCATTAAATAAAATATACCATTAAAATTTATTTCATCTCTTTCTCATTTCGTTCATGCGCCCATTAGAAAAATTCAAGTTACACAGATAGTTCATATTAAAGTTGTACGCATAATAAAGGTATATAGTATTTGTTGTCATCGCATACAGTAATTTAAAGAATAACAATGACAGAACTTTCTAAAAGGCAGTATGTTACAGGGATTGAGATTTATCAAGAAGTCGTAAATATTTGGACATGTTTATAGGTGTATCCCAAGTGCATACTCTGGACCTTAGATGTCTTTACTCTTTGCGAAATGTTTCAAACATTAAATGACCTTAAATGCATCTTTATTGAACTTTTGTTTAATTAGGCATACACTATACATAAACAATTGGACAAGCAAATATCTCTTGAATATCTCTGGAAATTTCCTTACCAAAACATCTACTCTACTACCAGACAGACGGCAAGTTCGACAGAACTATGCTGACAATTGTCATCCCTACGCTAACTGCAATCCATTTTCAGAGGACCTTTTGTACTTCTGTTGCCCTAACCCACTTTGTAAAGGTATTGACTAGATTCCAAGGAGAAACAAATTCACAAACCTCGATAGTCAAATTTCGCTGGTGAAAGGAAAAGAAAAATTTCTGCAGACTTATAAATATTGTGTATGATTGTCTTTCCTTGAGAGATATTTGGCTTCTGTGGTAGGTAGATGGCTCAGTGGGTATTGCTAAGTAAGAGTAAAGGCCTTTGTTCAGGTCCCCAGTATCCATGTAAAGCTGGGCACAGTGCTCTTATGGCCAGATAGGAGGCTGAATGGACAATGTCCATAAACTAGCCTGGTATAGCCTAAAGTAAGCAAGACACTCCACCTCAAACAAGATGGGAGACAGGGACGGACACTTCTAGCCAACCACTGAAACACACATTCATCTGCACTTACACAAACACACACATACATCACACACACACACACACACACACACAAACAGATTTATTGAAAGTATTTCCTTTGTAGTGATAACAGGAAGGGCAGAATCCAGTCTCTGTTATTACATACCTAGTACAAGTCTTCATACACCATATTAAGTCTTATAAAGTATTGATGAGATGACAAAGATCTGTAAGTACCATGTGTACTTCAAGAATGGCCATGATGGCTAATTCTGAAGGCTAATCTCACTGAACTAAGAAATGCCTAGGATAACAGTAAAGCACACTTGTGTCTGTGAAGTTATTTCCGGAGATGGTCAGATCAGAAAGCCTCTGACCTAAAGAACAGATTAAGGCTCTGATGGGTGTGAAATTACCATGGCATTGTTGGGAACTGGTAAAAGGTAGGAGGAAGAAGTAGGCCTAGATGGAGAAAGTAGGTCATACAGGATGGGGCGAGTCCTAGAGGCCAGTATCTTCTTCCCTGGGTTCCTTCCTGTATCCCCTTTCCTATACTTCCTGAACATCATGGCATCAGACACTCTGATTGATGCTCAACATTTTCACCCCATGATGGACAGAAACCTCTGAAACTGGGCTAAACCAGACCCAGTTCTGTCACAAATTTTGTCAAAACAGTAAGACTATAAAATCGACAGTATTATTCTTACCACTGTCAAATAAATTTATTCCTGCTTCTGTGGCACTACATTATAAGTGTTGAAGGGAGGGTGTGTGAAATCCTTCATGACACGGCACCTTGAGCATACCAGTTTGTTAGTAAAAAATCTAAAAACTAGTAGTTAATAGTAACCTTGCCAAAACCATTTCCATTCTAGAAGAGCTTTATACACATGCATATGCTCCCTTACTAGAAGGATATTATGCATATGCACACACGCCCTTACACACAAACACATAGCACTTTAGAGTACTTTGATATATAAGTAGGCAAAATTTGTTGCTAGGCATGAAAGCACACAGTCTCTTACACACAAACACATAGCTCTTTAGAGTACTTTAATATATAAGTAGGCAAAATTTGTTGCTAGGCATGAAAAGATTTATGTATGGAATTTTTTAAAACCATAGTTTCACAGGTTACTTTTAAAGCCAGTTTCATTTAAACATTAAATAATGGCCCATAAAACATGAAGGGAAAAGTAGAAAGGAAAAGGGGAAATTCGGAAGCAAGAGCTAATTTAGAACCCAAATTTCATTATTAATGAGTGGTGTAAGGGTAGGTGATTTCTTTAATATAACAGGTCTCCATTCCTTGTTTGTAAAATAAGATAACCCTTATTCTAGTATATTTATATCAAAATTAAGTAGTAAGACATCTAGCATAATATTGAATATCTCAATAGGTTCAATTTTTACACAGAACATTTTATAGTAGTATATTTCTACCATACACGTGTATTGCTTTTATGAATAATCTGAGTTGGGATGGTTTAGTTTCAAATGGGCAAACTACATTTAAGAGGTCTAATACACTACTTTACCAATAGTTTGTTACTAGGTTCTATAATTCCTATGTATAAAATGGGAATAATACAGCCTTCTCTATTACAAAATATGCAACTAAAAATAAGAGAACAGGTAAATGTGATAGGTAAATGTAATGGGGAAAGGGTTTAGGTATTTCAATAATTAAAAACACAGTGATAGCATTTGAAATAAAAGTGTCAGGCTTGAGGGTATGGATCAATGACAGAGCATTTATCTAGTACACACAAGTGCTGAGTTTAACCTCCAGTCTCTCTCTCTCTCTCTCTCACACACACACACACACACACACACACACAGAGGGAAAAGGTCAGAGAGAGGAAGAAAGAGATCTGCCTAAAATCAAGGGATTTTTCTATAAATAGTAACACATTCATACAGTTAGACACCATATAGTCATTATAAATGTGTGTAGATGGATAAAATATTATTAAAATATTATATGTGGGATTCATTTAAATATAATTCTGGGAGCTATAGATCCATGTACAGATGGATGGATAAGCATTAAATATAGAAGATACACACATGAAGGCATGTGTTTAAAAAAATCTCTCCAATGGGGACTTTCAAATATATACATATGTGAAAAGATATCAATGACATATTTAAATACAAAGCAGGTGCTGAGGGTGTAGTTCTGTGGTAGAGTGCTCAGTTAGCATGCAAAAAGGTTTGGGTTGTCACAAAAAAAGACAAATATAAATCATATATTGATGGGGAAGTCCTGTGTATAAGTCAATAAAGTACTGTTGGCCAG